TAAAAAGTTCCAGCTTTGGTTTTGGTTCGTAAATTTTATAAGTGAACTTGCCAACCAGTACTTTGAAAAGTAGTAGTAATTATGAGTGTCATCCTCTCCGCATTCTTTCAGTTGAAAGAGTGTTTTGAAGCGAAGTGCTAGACTTTGCTCCTTCGGTGATAACATTCCGAGATCACCGTTTTTGACGGGTAAGAAAAACGTCTCTCTTTTGACCGGGTTGAAATCGGTCTTTTGCCACAGATTTTCGAAAATGGCACTGTGCAAACGTTCTATTAACCATTCAGGAATGGGCAGCACATTTGCCAGAAACCACACTTTTGACAATGCTAGCGTATTTATCAACATAGTCTTTCCCCTTGAGTTTTTTCTCTACTTTGTTTAGAGTTACTAGCCAGTTGAAATTGGTAGTATTACTCAGTCTGGTGTAAAAAGTAACACCCAATATTTTGAAACCGGTGTTATTGGTCCACTCTATGTTGTCCAATTCTGGGTACATTTTAGGATCAATACCCCCAAGAGCGAGACCCTTGGTTTTTGAGGCATTGATCACTAAACCACTTGAACTTTTTCAAACAATTTTACTTTTTCGAAAAAATAGCGAACTGATTTTACGTCCCTGGCAAAAAAATTCGAATCGTCTAAGTACTGCTGTACTTTAAGGGGTTTTGATGTTCCTGGTAGTGGGAAACCCTCTATTCTGCTGTCTGCTCTGATCACCAAAGCAAGAGCTTCAGCGACAAAAACAGCAAAAGAGAGAGAGGGTCGCCTTGTCTAAATCCCCTTTCCGTAAGGAAAGAGGCCGATATGAAACCACAATTCAGAACAGATGCCGAAACTTCTGAATATAGGGTGTCAATGAAGGATACCAAATTTTCCATGAGATTAAATTTTCGGAGAATTCGCAGCAGAAACGCACGATTGACTTTATCAAACGCCTTTTCTTGATCTATTGACAAAATAAAACGAGATAGATTTTTAAATTCCTCGTAATCTATTAGATCACGGACTAAGTGTAAATTTGAGAATATTGTTCTACCTGGAATTCCGCAAGTTTGATTTGGTTCTATAATTTTCCCCATTTTTTTTGCAAGTCTCAGGGCCTACGCTTTTGTGATTATTTTGTAATCTGTGCCGATTAAGGATATGGGCCTCCAATTTTTGCATTCAGTAAGATCTCCTTGTTTGGGAATCAGTGAAATTATTGATTTTTTCATAGAGTGACTAATATTTTTTTCTACAAAAAGTATTTCGCAGGCAAGTTTTTCAAAATCTTTTTCTAAAATGTGCCAAAAAGTTTTGTAAAATTCAGCTGGAAGTCCGTCGTAGCCCGGAGATTTTCCGTTTTCAAATTTAAAAAGGGCTTCTTTTAGCTCCACGCCGGTTAGGCGGGTATTTAAAATTTTGTTTTCATTATCACTTAAACGTTTAGTGAAGTGTGACAAGACATAGTTTTGGCTGTCTTTACATAATTTCGTTTTGGTGTAAATGTTTTTATAACAAGAAACGAGGGAGTTGAGTATTTCACCAGGTTCACTCGTCAATGTGCCGTCATTCTTGCGAATTTCGGTAATTGATTTGTTCTGCTGTTGAGTTTTTTCCAAATTATACAAAAATTTTGAAGGTTTTTCTCTTTCTTCGATTAGTTTTTGTTTCGTGCGAATAAACGCTCCGGGAAACTGGAACAAGAAAAGAGCATCGCGTTTTTCTTTGATGCTATCTTAATTCATGTTAGTGTTTTGTCGCTCCCGTTGGATTTCGTTTTCAATCCTTTTGATATGTTTTTTGTTTTTCACACTTTCCTGTATCGATATGTATTGTAATTCAGCCCTAACAAAAAGTTTGCAGTCGTCCCACCATTTTAAAAAAGACTCATAGGACCGTTTTTTTGTTTGCCAATCTTAAATTAAGAGTTCAATTTTTTACCTATGCACCTCTATTTCCGAAAGGGAACAATTCAATTTCCAGTATCTTGGTCCTCTCCTACTTTTACTAAAATTGACGGTTATTGTCACGAACTTGTGGTCGGAAAAGAGATTGGTGAGAATTTTAGCATATGTTGTTTTTTTGGCGACTTTATCAGGGCAGTAGATTCGATCGAGTCTACATTTTGCTTTCTGATTTCGCCATGTGAATTCTCTTTTGTTTGGGAGTTTTGAACGAAAAACATCAACTAGGTTATACTTACTTGGAATACCCCGAGTTCGTCAACGCCATAGGTGTGATATTTAGCGTTGTTTGTGCCTTCTGTGTCGAGAGGCAGGTTTTCGACCGTGTTGAAACCTCCGGCTAACAGGACGGGTAGACCTGTATCCTGCGAGAAGTCCCCAAGGTCGCCAAAAAATTGGCGCCTTTCTCTCGGCACATTGGGAGCGTAAATATTCAGCACCTGCATTTCGTGTTCGTCAATTTTTATCATGGCATTTTATATTCTTCCGTTCGTATCCTTGTTCGTTTAAAGATATATTGGATTTAGAGAGAATCGCCACCTCGCAACAGTTTTGACTTGGACTAGAGTTCCAAATAGACTCGCCAGTCCATTCGTCTCCCCACTGTTTCCAGTAGGAGGATGAGATTGAAGGAGGATGATGAAACTACCTCTAATATTAAGTAACAGTGCTATTGATTTATTTATTTTCTACTTTTTATTTTGCGCTTTTTTTGTAGTTGCGCTTTTTTGCAACTGTTTCACGCTATTTTTTTGTTCCCAATGTTTATTTTCAAAAATTAACATTCAATTTCAGTTAAAAGTAACAGAAAATGTTCAGGAAATAAAAAAAAAAACTGTATTTTGTTTTATTACATTGGTAATTAAAATTAACATTTAATGTGAAAATTCACCTTGTTATATTTCTATAAATTATTAAAACGAACTTTAAAAATCAAAATTGCAAATCATTTATTTATCACCTGAATCACTAAGTAAGGTTTTAAAAATTGTAAGGGACATTGACAATAAGTTGTCCCTGATCCGTCTATAAAAAAAGTCTTTAAGAATAAATCTAAACATGGAAACAATTTATTTACGAGTTTAGCTCTTATAATAAAAAACATATTGTTTCTCATATTAGTTGACCCAAATTTTATTCAGGACTGTTTTTCGCTTAGGATAAGAGAAAACAAGATGTTTTTTATAATATGAGCTAAACTCCTTTGTAAATTGTTTCCATGTTTGAATTCATTTTGATAGACTTTGGAACAAATCAGTGTTGCTGCGTTGAAGAAATAGTAATGGCATTTTATCAAATGCATAAAATAAATTCCAAGAACATTTTTTTTTTTGTATGGCAATATTTAGATACATGATTTATCAGTATGGAAAACATTTGACTAGACTAGACCCATTTGTTTAAAAATTGTTCTGTAAATTATTTCTTTCAAAATTTCCCAATCCTGACAAGTCTTGACAACTTGTAATTTTTGGTATCTCCCTCATGTTTTGGTATCTCCCTCGTGTTCCTTTCCAAATAAAGTTGTTCCTTTTTAATAATACATGGTTAGCTGATAACTTATTTATTTTATTTAAACTCCAGTATAATGTTTTTATGGATTTTTCAGTGAAGTAAAGCGTTTAACTAATTAAAATCAGGCTCCTGCATATCTATTTACAGATATGGACAAGTCTGTCTTCATACTAAAACTTAAACTATTCTTTTAAAATATTATTCAGACTAAATAATGCCTAGGTTTTTTAGCACCTTTTGAAGGCTTTGTTTAGCCAATTGAACTTTTAACCTTTTTACTGAAAACAAGATGTAGTAAGTTGTTACTATCTATTGACTCTAGGAATACTGCAAAAACCAAAAAAAAATTCACAAATTCTATTTCTTTAAGTAAAGAAAATTAAGTTAAAATAATATAGTTGATATGAAATGATGTAAAATTTGGAATTTGTCATTAATTCGGATAGTTATTTTTTCTATTTACTATTTATAGAAGAAAACTTCTTTAAATTTTAGAGAATAAATTAAGTTTTGTATTGGGGCATGCAAACACTTTAATGCAAAAGTTTTATATCCTGATCAATTATGTATTTATATAATGTCAAACAAACAAAATGATCTCGGAGTTTATTTTGAGCAATTGGTAGAAAGTCTTCATTATCCCCTCAACGCTGCAATCACTGATCTGTTACAAGTCTATTCTAATAAATCCGAACAAAGCAACAGTTTACATAGGAGTTTAGCTTTTGTAAAAATATGAAAATGAAAAACATTTTGTTTTTCTCTGCAATTTGACCAAAATTATAATACATTTTGTCACCTAGGTTAACGAGGTCATACATTTTGTCGCCTAGGTTAACAACGTATTGCTTATGTCCCTTACAATTTATAAAATTGTCCTGCACTCAGTGATTCAGGTGATAAATAAATGCTTTGCATTTTTATTTGTTAAATTGCAATTTCCAATTGTAATTATTACTTTCATATCTATCAGCAAAACAGTTCTCCAAAAAAAAGATGTCTGTCTGTTTACTACTGCTAGAAACCATTGTAAAAAGGTTTTGTATAACGCCAAAGCCCATTATTCTCAGGTCACGAAATCTCGTATTTATCTCAAAAATTAGGCTTAGGCTAAAAATTAGGTGAGTTTTTCTAGATCTTACCAAAGTTTATAATACATTAGACCATAAAATTCTTATAAAAAAAAATAGAAAAGTTTGTTATTAAAAACATATTTAGGCTGATTCAAAAATTATCTAAAAAGTAGGAAACAAAACATATTATATTAAGAAGGAAATGATATTTCCATAGGTTTATATCAAGTAAATTTGATATAAACTCTTATTACGTATGTATGTATGTATGTATGTATGTATGTATGTATGTATGTATGTATGTATGTATGTATGTATGTATGTATGTATATATATATATATATATATATATATATATATATATATATATATATATAAACACACACACACACATATATATATATATGTTTATATGTATGTATGTATGTATAAATGTATGTATGTATGTATGTATGTATGAATGTATGTATCTATGTATGTATGTATGTATGTATGTATGTATGTATGTATGAATGTATGTATGTATGTATGTATACGTGTATATGTGTGTATGTGTATATGTGTTTATGCTTGTATGCGTATGTGCATATTGATAAGCCTTTATACCAAAATAGATTGTACAGATTTATTATAAAAGTGTTTTTTTTTTTGTCAATAATTTTATTTTAGACGGAAAAAAAAAATGAAACTGCATTATAAGTATTTGTTAAAAAAGATCAACATTTATCTATATGATAAAGATCAATAGTATAAAACTAAAAAAAAAAAAAACATCCTATTTATTTATACTTTATTGTTAGCAAATAAGATCAAAGAGTATATTTGGCCTGAGTACAATAAAGATTTCATTGTTTGCCCTCACATAATATGTTCAAATTGTAGGAGAAACATATTTTTGCTGGGGAAGGGATCAAGTACTTATCTGTCAAACTGGATGAATAAAGTATCTCAAGTACAGGGTTTGTTATATTCAAATGATTAATACATAAATTAATAAAAATAAATTTTTTTATAAAGTATATGTTTCTGAATTAGGTTGACAAGCCAAGAATTAGACGCAGTACTGAACTTAGTGATATTGTTCAACCATCTCGTGGTAACTAGCTGTAAAATCTCCAAAAGAAAATATATGTAGTTGCTGCTTTTCTCTCCTTGTTAGAGGTTTACAAACAAGCTTTTCTCTCCTTGCAAGAGGTTACAAACAAGCTTTTCTCTCCTTGCAAGAGGTTTACAAATAAGTATTAAAATATTTGATTAGTAAATAAAAAGTTGTCAAATATTTATGTATACATAAATATTTAATTATAATTGTAAACAATATGTAAAATTATTCATAATTAGTTTTTTTTAATTATAATTTGTATAACTTCAATAAAAAAAATTTTTAAGCTTAGTAAGTTTATATAAATTTTATATTTAATTTTATTCTTCAGGAGGTCAGAACAATTGTAGTTCTGGTCAGGCTGTTTTAAACCTAATTAATTTGTCAGAAAACCTTGATTCCACATCATGTGAACAAGTTGCTTCAGGCATTATTAAAAACAAGATGAAGCGAGAAGGCATAGAGAGAGGCCAATTCTTTAAATTATCTACAGGCTGCTAAGTTTTTTATTTTCATTATAAAATTGTTAATAAAAGTTCTAAATAACCATATAGTCTATATTATATATTATAAAACTTAAAGGCACACAAAAATAGATATGAGTCATATAATTTAACAATTATATTTTGATTGCTATTTTTTTGAAATATTTGTGTTTTAACTTTAGTTATGGTAAAAAAATATATTTAATTTAGTTATACTTTATTTTTAAGGTGGTTATCCATTAACTTTAACTGTTGGAGCGAAAGATAATAAATCTTCCAGAAAGTCTTTCAATCAGATATCATTCCAAACAGTTATGGAATTAACTTCTATACTGGAATTAACAAAAAATCAAATAAAAAAAATGATATCAAGTCTGCGTAAGAATCTAGAGTGGTCTACTGTTGTTGAGAACAATGTAGTTAGCATGATGACATCATTGCAACAAGAGTCTAAATATAAAATAGAGCAAGGTGATTTTATTTGGAATGATGAAACTGTAACAAGAGATATAGTATTTATTCATGACACTTCTGAATTTATTCTTAGTATTTTAATGGAAAGAGGTTTAGATTCTCTTTCCAGTATGGTACGTGTATCCATTGATGGAGGTTGGAGGTCAAGGATTTCTTAAAGTAATTGTAAATGTCTTTGACAAGATAATAACAATGAGATACACATCAACAGTGGAGTTAAAAAGTGTTTTATACTTGCTATTGTTAAAGATATTTCTGAAGACCATGAAAATCTGCAGAAAATCTTGAGTAGATTAAATCTAGATGATGTTACACATCGCCTTGCATTTGATTTAAAATGTGTTAACAGCATTTTCGGTTTATCTTCTCATTCTGGTTAATATGCCTACTTATAGTGCGAAGGTGAATGTACCCTAGAAAGTGGTATTCCAAGAACGTTACGGTCTCTTGATCATTGGTACAAGTTATTTGTTGAAAATGGGGCAAAGCGATTGCTGATTGATTAGTCCTCGTCTTGTTTATTTTGATAAAAATCCTGAAGTTGAAATTAATCACTTAGTTTTACCACCAGAATTACATCTTCTTATGGGGATTGTGACACTACTTGGTAGACTACTTTTAGATCATTGGCCTCTGTTTACGAATTGGCTTAAAGAGCATTATATTTTACTTCGTGGTTATCATGGGATAGGCTTTGATTGCAATAATGCCACAAAACTATTAGAAAAAGTAGATATTTTAGAGATATTTTAGCATCTCAAACTAATTTGATACCTGTTGTTCATTGCCTCAAAAAGTTTTTGAAAGTTAAAGAGTGCACATTTGGACAAGAATTAGGCAGTAATGTTTCTTCAGTTTTTGAAGAGTTCAAAGTATTATTTTTTGACCTTCAGCAGTATGCAAAAATACATTTAAATGCAGAGCTGAATGTAACTTGGAAAGTACATATAGTGGTTTGTCATATTCTCCCATTTGTGAAATTTAACTATTGTTCTCTTGGGTCATACGCTGAACAGACTGGAGAGGCTGTTCACAGTGCCTTTAAACCAAGTTAGTCTCGATATAAACAAAGGATTGGGTATATAGATTAAACGATTAAAATCTGCCACTGCCACTTTTTGCATAGATAAGATGTAAATATTTCAATATATAAGTAGTTGTGTTAATATTTTTATTGCATTCATTGTTTTTTCCTTGTCATTTTTCCTTTGTATTATTACTATAAGGGACTTTAATGATTTAAGTTTAAAGTTATAGATTATATCATAATACTTTAAAGAGGATAATTAGGGATATTGATTTTTTAAAATAATAATAGAAGGGGTTACTTTTATAAGGGGTAAGTTTATCGCTTTAAGCTGGTAAATAGGGTTAAATAATTATTTTTTTTGGTACTTCTGATCTACTTTAGATTTATCCAATACACAAAAAATACACATTTTAGCAGCATTTATCTTAATACAAAAAAAATTAGAGGTGGGGAGAAGTTCAACCTGACGGTCTTTGATTATTTGACTATATATTTGATTTAGAGAAACGTGAAATTTATCTAAAAATCACAGACAAAAGCATCATTAGTCAGTGATTTGTAAGGCTTGTAATTTCGTCGCAATCTACTATAGAATATTTATGAACAAGTTGTTAACATATTTTTGTTACTTTAATTAAATGTGAATTTTCAGGAAAAAAAGAAAACAATGAAGAATAATGAAAGAAAAGATTGCTACCCCATGCCAAAGCCTCAGTCAATATAGCAGTACTCCGCTGTAAATCAGGCTATTTTTCAGTCAATGTATGTACTGAACCCCCCGGCAGAAGGCTATTACAGTAAGACATCACACTTCTTACCTAAACCAGCAGTATATGATACATATTTATATACATATTTACATAGCGCCGAAACCCTCCACACTGTCTCACAAAAAAAAAAAATTGTTCAAGTTTTTTTATTAAACTTATATACCAGTTCGTTGCTCCAGTTTAAGTTGTATCAAGATAATATTTGTTTTCAAAATAGAAAAAACTGTCAAACATGTAACAAGTTCTTTAAACAAATTCAAATAAAATGATGTTTAAAACCTTCAAGTCAAATGCTTAAAAAAGGACACGTAACAAGTTCTTTGTACAAATTCAATTAGAAATAATCTTTAACACCTTTAAGTCAAAACTTTTTTGTTAAATAAATCAATATACTTTTATTTGAATAAAATTAACCCCAGTGTGTGAAAGAGGAGGGGGTCTTTACTAGTGCAACGTACTGGTATATATATATAATGCTTTTTTTTTTTTTTTTTTTCTTGTCTTTTTTTTTAAAAACTATTTAATCGCATTATGATCAAGATTTTGTTCTAATAGACACAAAATACTCAAAATGGCAAGCTCACTGGTTCGTTCTTGTTCCATAGTTGAGTGCAAAAATACTCAAAATGGCAAGCTCACTGGTTCGTTCTTGTTCCATAGTTGAGCGCAAAAATACTCAAAATGGCGAGCTCACTGGTTCGTTCTTGTTCCATAGTTGAGCGCAAAAATAGCAAATTCACTGGTTTGTTTTTCTCCCATAGTTGAGCGCAAAAATAACAAGTTCACTGGTTCGTTCTTCTCTCAAAGTTAAGTGCAAAAATAGCAAGCTCACTGGTTCATTCTTCTCCCATATTTGAACGCAAAAGTTTTACTATAAGCATTAATTTATTGAATGATAAGTTAATGCTTTTTATTTTTTTTTTAATTCACCTCCTCAAGGCCGAGAAGCCCACTACAGACGAGGAGGCTACTTATTTGTGGTTATAACCCTCTCTCAACTCTATAACTCCGAAACACGAACTTTGACGAACAAGGCCGCTGCGTGGAGAAACGAGTTGAGCGCGGTACTACCAGGGACGTGGTGGGGATTGAACTCGCTTACCAAAAAAGAACGCTCACTTGAGGCCACTGTCACTGGAATTGAAACCAAAAAAAATGCAAATTAGCTACTAAATTTCAGAGTCTCTGCTTTGGAAATTTTTGATGTTCCAACAAAAAGAGAAAGTAAAAAAAGGGCATCTTAAAAAGCCGTGAAACGAGTAAGTCTATCAATCACAGAATTATGAGTGTGATAAAAAAAATCACCTCCTCAGCGAAATCATTGCGCTTTACTTTTGGTAGATTGTAAATACAAAACTAATTTTTGCAGTATCTGCAGCGAATTTGGCTTTTTCCATATTTGTTGGACACTCTTCCCAAACAGATTTAAGGTGTTTAATCATTATTTAAATACTTTTCACATTAATATCAATAGTTGCCATTCTTGCCTGATTGACCTAGTTTTCGCAATATATATATATATATATATATATATATATATATATATATATATATATATATATATATATATATATATATATATATATATATATATATATATATATATATATATATATATATATATATATATATATGTATATATATATATATATATATATATATATATATATATATATATATATATATATATATATATATATATGTATATTTTGTATATTTTGAAAATTTTTTCAGTTAAGTTAAATTTAAATATTATAGAACTAGTTAAAAGAAATATTAAAACCAAGTTTTGCTACTTTGCTAAAAATAAATAATTTAGTCTTTGTTATTTCCGCTATCTGACGTTGACGTATAAGCGAATTAAACCCAGTTTTTAAAACTTAGTTCAAATCGCTTACAATCTACTATTATTATTATTATTATTATTACTTTTATTATTATTATTATCATTACTTTTTTAATATTTGGTGCTTGAACTTTTTAATATATAACAACCCTTCACTACATAATGATATAGTGCAAACGTCTAATTCGGATTGATATAAGCAAGACTATAAAAGTTATAACCAAGGATTGATATAATCAAGATTGGTACAATCGAGACCAAAAATTATAAATATAACAAGTTCAAATATATAATGTAAAGTTTTACCAATCTTTGATATGCTTGTTTCATTGAAACAACTTTGACTCCAGTTTTCGGATGATGTATCAAGTAAATCCTGGTTTGTAATACCAACTTTGTTGCAATTGGGTGCAGCTAAAACATCAGCTGGAGTTATAGGATTAAGTTTTTCCAACATCGATGACGAATTGCCACTTTCTAAATTTTCTACTATTTCATGATTATCAAAATCATTGATTTCAGAAGGTATACTACTCCAAGTAGAAAAAAATTTATTTTATTTTATTGAGCAGTAAATACAATAGTTTACTTAATTATTAGGCATATTCATATACAAGTTGTTATTTTCATTTAATCGTTTTTTTTTTGTTTTTTTTATTCTTTTTTTTTTTTTCATTTAATCATTAATTTTTATTTAATCAGTTTTTAATATTTTTAAAGAGATTTTTCCATTCTTTTTTCGCTTAAAACATTTATATATATTTTGTTAACATTTATATATTTTTATTAACATTAATATATTTTCTTTTCCAAGTAACGCAAAAGTCTGAATTAATATTTCCTTTCTATACAAAAAATAAACTAGTATAAAAATATAAAAACTAAATTTACTTTTGTTATTTACTTATTTTTATAGATTTTATGACCCAAAAGATTAAAGCGAAATGTTTCAAAGTTTTACATTTTGTATTACTCTTCTTATGCTTGAAGTTAGTATAAGTATTATGGTTATCGTTCGTAATAAACATGTATTTAACTTTTTGTTATTTTTTGTGATAGGCTCATAAAAAGTTATCAAACAATAATGCTAGATATACCTTCAATAAAAATATTAAAATAAGAAGAAAATGCATTACCGTAAAGTTTGAGACTCTTTAGGTTCTCTAAACTGGTGCATTATTGGTTTCCGAAGCTTTGTACCTTTGTACCTTTGAACCTTTATAAATATTCATACCCAGACGTGGTTGCGTATACAATATCGCGGAGTCTAATTTGTTTGCACATATATACGTTCATTTATACATTATGCATAATTGCAGCAGAGTCTTCATTAATTAACTGACTAATCAAGTTGGTTATAACAAGAACTTTTAATTTTTCTATTTAATATTTTTTTATATACATTAAAGCAAATCAAATCAAATATATTCTGAACAAAGTTGTTTTATTAAGGATATTTACAAATAGTAATTAGTACTAATATAAAGTAAACACCTGACAGACTCATTAAAAATAAAGCCTTGAGTTATTGCAAAACTATTAGTCGTGAAGCAATAATACTTTCTCAGTATGTTTATGTTATTAAAATGATTCATTGCCTGCATGAATTTTCAGTTTGCAATTATAATAACTTGAAATAAATATTAAAATAAAAAGTTTATAAATTTGTTATCTGGTCACGTGACCGGGTCAAGATGACTTATTATGCATTTTTTGCCTTCAATTTTATAAAAATTTAAAACCTACCAATAACTCTAACTCAAGTAACACAAAATAAGCACAAGTTGCAAAAAACTACTTTTAAAATAGTTAAACTTGAAGGACACCAACCATTATGAGAAACCGAAACTGAGGAATTTTTTTTCAAGCGCAAAAAGTAAACTTGTGCGTGTAAAATTGCGTTAACAATGTTTAAAAAACCAATTGGTGTTTTAAAATATAAAATGCAAATACAGTTTTTTTTTTACTCAACTTTAAGATTTTTTGTTGAGTTGTTATATGAAAACCCACCTTGCCCCATTCGCCATGTTGCCCCGCTTTTCCCTAGATCCGTTGCACACAAAAACATGTGTGAATTTGAAAAAACCTGTTTATCACACACTCACAATTTAATTAGCGTTTTGGTTTTGGATCCTCCGTTGTGCTCAAAAGTTCATCTAAAAAAGAATCTCTTCATTTGATTATCCTGACAAAGGTAGACCATTGTTATACATTTTGCAACATTTCTAAGATCTTTAATTTTAAGAAGATTAAACCTCTTTAGAGTATTGCAAAATTGTTATCTAAACATTTGTTCACTAATATGCAGGGGCGCCGAGAGGGAGTGGTAAAACAGCTGTTCGTTCTGGACGGTAGATGTACAAAGGGCGCCAAATAAAAAGAAGGTTCTATGAAAAAAAGGTCATTCACAAATAAAATACTAGAATATTGAAAAATAGGGGCGCAAATCAGGGTTGCTGTCCCAGGCGGCGTGAGGCTCTCGGGACCCCTTGTAATCGCTCCTCCTCTCTTACCTTCGGGTTTAGCTTCGAAAAAAAATTGTGATCTAGGAAACAAATAAAATTAAATAGCCGCTCGGATTCTTAAAAAATCACCATTTTCGCCAAATGCAATATTTTAGGAGTTGTTCAACTTGTTTAAAACCAATACAATAAGCATGAGGTAACACAGAAAAAAAATTTTCTATATTCAAATAAAAGTATGAACAATATTCTCCAAAACACCCCAAAAGAATCAATCATGTAAGCTAATATGGCTTCAAATAGTTGTTCAGAAAGTAATATATCTAACAAAGTTGATCACTTTGATCATTTATATGAAAGTGATGAGTCTTCTGATGAAGATTTTTTTCAGGGTGCTCATATTAAAACTAAAATTATATCTGCGTGGAACAATGTAAAGTATGGTAAGAAATTGATTTAAAAAAAATCTCATGACTTTTGCGCTGAAGGTAATGTAAAGATTTAATTATTATGTTTAGGATTCAATGTTCCCTATAAACCTTCATTTGATAGCGATAGTCCTATTTGGTTGCTTGGAAGATGTTATTATGCTAAACAAGCAGGTATAATTTTGTTCTATGTTATTTTAATTGTTATAATGATGTCATATTTTTATGCTTCCAATTTTTCCTATTATTTTTATATAAAGTAATGTATTATGGGTTATATATACTCATTAAGTATGTCCCATGATGAATTAAAATTTTTATAAAGAGTACTTTTCTGTAATTTGTATAATTAGGTACGTGACATGAAATTTTTAAATTGATCAAACATTAGATTGTTATATATTGTTGGAAAGGTCTTCAATTCAGTATTTTAAAGGTGAAAAAATTATCAATTTTTTAAAATTGAACAATTCTACAAAAAGTTATGGAGTTTTGGGTACTGATTTTTTGATATATGGATTTCTTAAAAAAACTGTGATCAAATTTTAAGTTTTTTTAACTTAAAACGTCATAACTTTGTCAATTCTTATCAAAATACATACAACTTGGTATCAAAAAAAAGATCTTACAAAGGGCAATGTCTATATACAAAGTATGTATAAAGGGTGCTAGAGGGGCGTCTAAAAAACACTTTAATATGTTAAAAAATATTGATTTTTTTAAAGAATATTTTATTTGTATTTTTAAAAATATTCAACAGGGTACTATCAAATATAATTTAGATACTTTAGGTTAGTAGGCTAGAAGTTTTTTGAGTGCACCCTTTATAGCTGTAGCTGCACCCTTTAACCTAACTTCAAGGTCATTACTTTGTATTTTTATATCTAAATGCATACATTTTAACATCAAAAGAAAGAATTTCAGGAATAGACGCGGAAAGAGGCCACAAAAGAGTATTATTTTGAAGCTCTCCACCCATTACACCTAGGTATGGCGGGTGAAAACTCAAATATCTTTTTGTAAAAATAAATATTATTTATATGAAACACAAATTTTACATAAAAAAAACAAACTCATAACTGTATACAAAAACTTAATATACAAAAAGACTATATACAAATATTAACATAATCAATATATACATACACACTATACATACACCTGTTAATAGGTGTATATAGATTCACTAAAAAGTGAATCTGTATGCACTTATTAATAAGTATATGTATAGTTGTTGAAAACGTAACTATTCCTGATTTATCTGGCATCCCTTCTGCCACCAGGAGGTTTGTATTTAAAATGAGGCAGATCTTTACCTCCATTCTGGGCCCATATACGGAAAGCTCTTAGGCCCATATACGGAAAGCTCTATTTAGGCCCAGGGTGACTTCGGTGCCAAACCAAAAAATCACTCCTAAACAAACCTATATTTAAAAAAAAAAATTTCCTAAGTTTTTAAAAAATGAAAATAAAAAAAATAAGACAAAAGAGTTAAAGAATTACCAAGGAGGTCTTAGTTTCCACTCTGGGCGCCAGATGGCAGTGATGACATTAAAGAAGCTAGTAGGATTAAAATAAATTGAATAAAAAATCATAAAAAAGTACTTTATTGATCTGTAAAATTGTTTTATAAAACAAACAAATAAAGTAACAAATAAAATACCGGACTGCAGTAAATGTTCTCGAGCAGCTAAATTAATATAAAAGTGTAAATCTATTTCACCTCAATTAACAATTTATTGTTCAAATTAATGCAACATTTATTAAAACAATAAAAATCTTACCAAGAATTTCCTTTCTTTTAGCTGAAACTAAAAAATTTTAAAATTATTTTTGTTTAGGTATAAATTCAGTAAAAAACAAAAAGTTACAAAATGATTTAAATATGTTTACCAAGCTCCTCTCTTTTGCGAGCTAAAAATTACAAATTTTAAAGAAACATAGGCAATATTACAGCATTTAGTTAAAAACTAATTGGCTAATTCTAAAATTAAAATGAAATATTTTTACCAATCTGAAATAAAATAATTTTTTTTTGTGTGAGTTTTTTAAGATTTTGTATTTCTGCCCTTAAAGCTTTAATTATTTTGTTCTTTTCTTTTAACATTTTGTCTTAGAATACGTAATTGTTTTGGCATGCTTTTTAATTCAGCTTTTAATAGTTCTATCTTGCTCCGACAATTTTTATAAGCGTTAGCTAACCGAGAAGACAAGTAAGAAAACCTACCTTTTAGTTTTTGTTTTATAAGGCTTAATTTCTCTCTAAATATATGTTTAGTTATATCTCGTTCGCTATAACCTGCAGATGTTGAGGGTCCACTAGTTAAATCAGATAAAACATTCATATTGGCATATGAAACATCTGAGGAGCCTGATGATAATACAATGTTAGGCAAACTTGATATATGGCTTAAAAAAAGTTTATTGCAAAAGTCAACAAAACACTTACTGTCCTCAGGCCTGTTAAAATTTCTAGCCCGATTTAATGATTTATTTATGAGACTCCCAACCTGATTTTTACATGTTTCTATCTTAAAATGTTTAGTGACTTGTTGAGATGTTTTGAGAAATGAATCTTTATTTTTTGTAAATAAGAAAAAAATATATCCATTTCAACAAACTGTATTACACTCTGTAATAGAGTCAATTCCTATTAGTGACAATTCAAAATTAGCAGTTAAATACTTTTTGCATTCACCATAAAATACAAACTTTGTTTTTGGTCCCATGATAGCTAGAGAAAAAAAAATTAATTGTTATAAATAAAAAATAATATATTTAAATCATGGTAAATAAAAAGATATTACATTAACTACATTACAACTATTTAGTACAATTAAATAATCTATATCCAACATCATTATTGTTATTACTAGTACATTCTACCCCTCCTCACTGGAAGTGTACTGGATTATTGAAGTTAAAACAGTTATCTAATTGGAGTAGAGTATTAAGGTGCATAAGTATGCTTTTTTTTCGATGAAATTTGGCAGGTAGTAAGAACAAAGGTTTTTAAAGTTGACAGAATATATTAGAAAAATAAACCAGCATTTCTTTGATATATACTTGATGTCCAAACAACAACAAATTTTTACCTAATTGGAGTAGAGTATTAAGGTGCCTGAGTATGCTTTTTTTTCAATGAAGTTTGGCAAGTAGTAAGAAAAATGGTTTTTAAAGTTGAGAGAATATATTAGAAAAATGAACCAGCATTCTTTCGATATATACTTGATGTCCAAAAAACAAGCAAAACTCAAAGAAATTCATGCAAAATTAAAGTTCCATAATTCTATTATTCAAAAAATATCTATGTTGATACATATTTCTAAAAAATAACAGAGCAAAACAAGTTCATACCATGCAACTTTTCAACTAACTTGAAAAAGCGTGTCACAGAATTTGGCCGAAAAAACGACTCCGTAAAATCCGGATTTACGCGTATCTAGTACAATACCAATTATTTTTAGAAAAAAGCGTAGATATAGAGATATCAATATCTACCTAGAAGATATTGATATCTCTATATCTACGAAGAACCAAACATAAAAAAATATGCACAATATATAGAATAGAATAGAATAGAAAAGGTTCTGTGTTGCACGATTTCAAGATTGTCAATGTCCTTTTTCCAAAATGGACTCCAAACTGTTGCTCCATATTCCAAATGGGGACGTACTAACGATTTGTATAGTAATTTTGATGAAAATTCATCCAAATACTCAAAAGAGTTTTTAATCATGCCTAATTTTCTGTTTGCTTTACCTATAGCTGAATTAATATGATATTTCCACTCTAGATTATTTGAAATGAAAATCCCAAGATCATTTTCTATCATTGTTTCTGTTAAAACAGAGTTGTTCAATTTATATTTATATCTTGGATTCTTTTTGCCAATATACATGACTTTACATTTTGATTCATTAAATGTAATTAACCAATCTTCAGACCATTTAACTAACCTGTTAATATCCTCTTGTAATATTGTATTATCATCATAACAATGATTGATTGAAATAACTTTGGTATCGTCTGCATATAATTTAGTGTCTTTAATAATCCCTCTACATAAGTCATTAATGAAGATTACAAACAAAAGAGGTCCGAGTACTGAACCTTTTGGTACTCCACTAGTAACCATCTTCCAACTTGAAATATATTCCCCTACCACAACCCTCTGTGTTCGGTCTGACAAAAATGATTTACACCAATTTAACAATATATATATATATATATATATATATATGTATATATATATATATATATATATATATATATATATATATATTTGCTTTAAAATAAAATTTAAAAATATGTGTATATATAGATATATATATATATATATATATATATATATATATATATATATATATATATATGTATATATATATATATATATATATATATATATATATATATATATATATATATATATATATATATATATATACAGGGCTCGAAATAACGTACTTTTTTGTTCCGGACAGTTTGTCCGATAAATTGTTTGGTTTGTCGGACATGACCGATAAATTTCAACAAAAAATACTTTTACTATAAAACTAATATCCGATTTATTATTTACTACTGGTATGTGCGGTCATTAGTAGGGGTGCACCGATGCATCGGCCGATGCCAATTGTTTAAAAAAGTCAATTTTTTTTATTTTTTTGTTTCTATATTGTATAAAAAAATATAATAATTATATTTTTTTATAAAATATAGAAACACAAAATTAAAAAGACTCATTTTTCAAAACAATCGGCATCGGCCGATGGTTACAGACCGATGCAACAGTGCACCCTTAGTCATTAGTATTGCGGTGTTAATTAGATTATGAAAGTATAAAAAAAAAACGTGTTATACTTTTATGTTTAGACTTACAAGTTAAAAACTTGTGACTTTTTTGGAAAAAAACGACAACATTTCTAAAAGAATAAAAACAGTTTTTAATAAAATAATAATAATAAATAGTTGTGTTTGCTATCGCGCTAACCATTTTTACTTTAGAGTATTGGTATTAACTATCTCTATTTAACGCTATTTATTGTGCAAACGTAATGTCTATACATAAACGAACTTTTCTCGTCAGGAATATGTTTGATTATAAAAGCAAGACCAGTATTTTGTATTTATTTTAAAGCTTAAAGATTTTTACACAATTAAAATATGTTTTTCTTTTAATTGTCATCAAAAAGAGATTTCACAAGATCCTCCCCACTATCATTTTCACTGTCGCTAAGGGAAGTAATTGTTCTTTTTTTGTTTACCCGATCTTTATAAATTCCCGTTGGTTTTTGGTTTGGGCGTCTTCCTTTATCACTCCACCACAATTCAATTGCAGGAAGAAAATTGAATTCTTTCAGCAATGGACCATCTTCCAAAATGCGCAAAATATTTGAAACACAAGATTCTGTCAATGAGGTTCGATAATTTGATTTGACACTTTTCATCTTTGAAAACATTCTTTCCAGCTTAGCGTTAGAAATTGGCAAAGTAAACAATAGCTCAGCAACTGTTAAAATAGAGGTCCATGATTTACTTCTAGGTGATACAAATATGCGTCGCCAGGTAATTCGATATTGCGTTTCAACTGGGGATAAAAACTCTTGAGCATAACTTAGCATTTCTTTCCATTGAGTTAAGATGTCTGGAAAAACAACAGCAGCAGAGCGTAAAGGCTCTTGAAAGTGTTTGCATATATAATTTAAAGCTTCATCGGCAAAATCTAAATTTCGCGTTATGATTCCGCTTTCAGCTATAACCTCCCGAAGCCAGCCGTTGCAATTTAATACTTGGGATGCATACTTTAAAATAAGAGTACTTTCTTTTTCGTTTTCTACACGTTGTATAATGCAGTCCCTGACTACTGTTAAATACTCCACAGTTTTTGTTTTAAAAATTTTATACTCACGCTCAAAGTCTTTAAGTTCAATGTCATGATAATAATGTTTGCCGTTTTTTTTTTTTGATTTGTGAAAGAAAATATTTAACTCTAGGCAAATATTCGAGACTTTTTTTCTCAAATAATACCCATCTTTCCTTTGCTTTTGTAAGACAGTTTATTACTTGAACGTGATCAACTTGATCATCCTGAAAAGACATTGAAAGTATTGAGGGAATTTCGAGTAAATCGATAAAAAATGCAAATAGAAGTGGTATTTTTCCTTTTTTCCATTTTAGGAGATACCCTTTCATTTTAGCTTTGTCAGGAGCTAAAATCGATGGGTCTTCAGCTAATTGTTCAAGATGGGTAATGTATAAACCCCATTTGTCAAGGAAAGACTTCATGGCATTAACTTTATAAGAAATCCATCGTGTTCCAGGTGCTTTTTTAGGCTTGCAACTTTCATCAAGCATATCCATCCCGTCTTTTAAAACAGTATATAACTCGCGAAGCTGTCGGAGCTTTTTTGGTGCTTTTTGGTACAGGCAATAACTTCGTAATATAATTTCATCTACAAGATCGAATTCTGTATCTTTTAAAGCATCTGCAATTGCTAATTCTAAGCGGTGTGCAACACACCAAACAAACACAAGCCACGGACTTCTTTCGCGTAGAATGGTTTTCACACTACTTTGATCGCCTCTATTTAGTGCAGCCCCATCTGAAGTAAAACCAATGCATTTAATAGGTGTTAGCAAATTTACAAAGCATTCTTCTAAAACTTTTACAACACCTTGGGCTTTTCCAGATTCTAAATATTTTATATCTAAAAACGAAGTCCTGATTTCAACCGCATCCGACCCAACTGGCTGTGGATCAAAATATAATGCATACACCGCTTCATTTTCAATTACCGAACTGTCTGTTGAACCATCACACAATACACTATAAAATTTAGCATTTCTAAGGCTATCGTGTAACGAATTTTGCAGACTTCTTGCAATATAGTCAATAAATACAACGCATTGGCGATCTGAAATATAGGATTCGCCCATATTCACACCGAAAAGCTCAACTAATTTAACAATTGGAACAAACTTTGAAAGAGGTAACTGTTGTTTCGCTATAAAGTAAGAAAGTTGAAATTTTTTAAGGGTTTTTTCAAGGTCGTTTTTTTCCATTTTTTTCAAACCATCAGTGATTGTTGCGTTATTTTTACAGTGCAATAAAGGTTTAGATGCATTTTGAAAATTATTAGATTTTTTAAGAAAAAGAGTGTATGCTTTTAAGTGCGGTTGAGACTTACAATGATCAAGAATATTCGATTTTCTATAGTTTGCTGATCCAACTATGAATGTATTCGTATAGTATGGCATAGTTTTTATTGTATCATTAAACTCTGTACAAAACTTGCATTTTAAGTTTTTTACTCTTTCATTTGAATCAATGTCATAAAATAGCCATTCGCTAAGTGAATACTCAGCGAGCTCCGACTTCCAAGTTTCTACTGTCGATACTGATACTTTACGAGGATTTGCCGTGATCTTACTTGTTTCTTCTTTGGCATTTTTTTCATTTATAGACTTAGCTGCAGGCGACTGTTCTAAAAGTGGTTTAAACAAAGAAAATATAGTTTTTTGAATTTTATTTTTCGGTGGCTCAACTGTTGAACACTTTGAACATAAGGCAATTCTCTTAATTTCCTCACTATAAGATAAGTCGCCAGTTTTTCCCGGAGTTGCACAAATATTGCAAACAAAAACAGCGCATTTCATGCATGTATACTTTGTATTTCTTTCACGACAAACTGAGCAAACTGCTTCCATTTTTTTTTAATATTACGCCCTAAGTTGGAATAATGACAACACATTATCATAAATATTTTAAACTTATATATATTATATGTGAATAATTATATTAATAAAATACATAATTATACTCATATAATTATACATTTTATTAATATATTTATTGTTAAATTTATAAAATAAAAATTTCTGTTCACAAAATTGAATAAGATAAGAAATAAGTTTAATTAAAAGTAACAAATAGCTTTACCTTGAAAATTTCAAATTCAAAATTAAATCACAGTAAACAGAAAACTATTAAAAACGTAACATGTTGTATTAAATTTTATTTTTTACAAAATATTAATATTTACGGGGAAGATATTTTAAAAATGTAAAAGAAAAATGTAAAAAAAGTGTTGATGTTAACCCCTTTTTGGTTAAAAAATAAAATAAAAAAGAAAGTTTATATATAATATACTGAACATTTCAATAACTTTTAAATAACTAAAATAATTTTAAGAAAATTTCACAAAAAATATTAGTCGGACAAAATGACCGATTTATGATGATTTTTACCGGACCAATGTCGGACAATGTCCGATGTCCGGCGGCTATTTCGAGTCCTGTATATATATATATATATATATATATATATATATATATATATATATATATATATATATATATATATATATATATATATATATATATATATATAGAGCCTATTCTAGGAAAAAAATTTGGGCGGCGGTACCTCCCTTGTCCTGGCAATACAGTCAACGCTGTCAAAAATGGTCTAAAATAACCCCTGATATATATATGTGTGTGTATATATATAAATATGTGTGTGTATATATATAAATATGTGTGTGTGTATATATATATATATATATATATATATATATATATATATATATATATATATATATATATATATATATATATATATATATATATATATATATATATATATATATATATATATATATATATATATATATATATATATATATATATGCAGGGTTGCAAGGTTTAAACAATGGTTTAAACCAATTTAAAAAATTTTGGTTTAAACCAAACTAATGTTTTTTTAAAAAGATTTGAACTTAAAACAGGAAACTAAGACAGTTTTATACTCACAAATATAACTAATCTTCAATATAGATATATTTTTTTAAGTTCATGATTTTTTTTTTTTTTTTTAAATTTATCATTATGCTTCATCCAGGATACACTCTACCTAATAGAACTGAAATTGGAGGAGAAATATTAGATAGGGTTTACACAGAAGAAATTGAAAAATATAATGTATTGAATGGGAAAATTGTGGCCATGTCTTTAGATGGCTGGAGTAATGTACATAATGAACCTATAGTTTGTATCTTTGTAATTACAGATAAAATTAACATTTTAGTAGAATCTCATCCAATGTCGACATAATAGTTGTACCTTATAAATGATACAGTTAATCAGCCTAATCAACGTGACGATATAGGGAAAATTATTGGCTTTAAACTATTAATTGAAATGCTTTTAAATTAAAGTTTGAACTATTAATAATGATAATTCTAATTTAAAAATTATATTAGTTTTATGCTTTTATTTTCTCTGGTTTATCCTTTACTTATTTTATCATAACTTTTTAGTTATAGTTAGTTTATTTTTACTTTTTTCTTTAAATTAGTTTGATTTTTTCAGTGTATTTTTTAAAACATGCAAATTAATAATATTAAAAAGAAACTGTGGCCAAGTTGTAAAAAAAAATTGTATGCATGGTCATATAAGGCGTGTTACCACAGGCATCTTCTGAGAAGGCTTGTTTATATATGTAGATATAAGCATGTATAGATATATATAAAAGATATTATATATAGTTTTTTTTTAATTCTTTTTATATTTTTTATTTGTCATTTTAACTTATACAGAGTATGACTCAAAAAATGCTGTTCAAAATACACGGTACAAAATACATGGCATTGATTGTTTTTTTGAAGATTTTTCATCTTTAATATATCTCAGTTATCGTAAACATTTCTCACAGCTTGCTAATTCTAATCTGACATCAGATAGTGGTTGGGGTTGTATGTTACGTACTGGACAAATGTTGTTAGCTAATGCACTTCTTATTCATATGTTAAAAGAAGGTGAGACTTTTGTTTGTAAAATGTTCTATAGATTTTTATATATTTCTATATAAAAATCTATAGAACAATTTTAGTCATATTTCTTTTGATAGATTCGTACTAATACTAGATTGTGAATTTATTTAGTTTTTTCTGAAACTTAAAAATCTTATTATATAACTTTTTTTTAAACTTACTTGAAAATTTGTTTTTTTTAAAAAAACTCATTTTTATATGCTATATTGTATTTACATTATAATAAAAGTCTTTTTATTATAATGTAACTACCATATTGCATTTACAAATTTTAAAATTTTAAAATTATAGTTGTACAATTCATATGTATTTATAGTTTGTAATTATACATTTAATATTTATAAATATTCTTATTTATTAGTTATAATTGATAAGTAATTGTGATCACTATTGCTGTTTTTTGACTAAATCTAAAATATGCTTATTTTTTAATATTATTAAATAATTTATTTTGATTTATTGTTGAATTATGACATCATTAAAATAAGTTTGTAATAAAAGGTTTTTTTGACATTGTTCTACACAAAATTTTATTGAAATATATTTTTAGTAAGAGCAGGAGAAACTTGTAAACTGTAGCCCTTGAAATAAAGCGCTGGGTATAAAGCATTTTAGGTACGCAAAGAGCGATTTTGCGTTAAGCTACACAGTTTACATTACATTAAAAAATTTTAAGTTTAGTATTAGGGCAATTCCATGTGAAAGCATCCAATTTTTTCACAAAATGTAACCCTAAGTCTCAGAGTTTGCTGATTTTTCACCACTTAATCATCTTATTCCAAACGGTTTCAAAGATATGACTCCTCAAACTTTGCCTTGAACCAACAAAAATCCGCCATTTTGAAAAATGTTTTTGGTCATTGTTTCTGTTCTGTGTGCAATGGAAAGCTGAAAATATGTACACTTTCATATTTTGAGGCAAGATATCCAATAAAACAAAATATTTAAAAATAAACATAACACCTGTAATTTTGACCATTATCGCAATTTTATTGGGGCGAATTTAATTACCAAAATGCCGATGTAGCTTGATTTTTTTTTTTTAAATGTTGGTCTTTTCTAAAACAGAAAAAAATGGTTAAAGTTAAGTTTTTTCCTTTCAATTTGTTAAATTGAAAGAAAAAAAAGGTGGTATTCTTAAGTGCATAATACACAGCAGTTGATGTTTAATACTTTTCAAAAAAGTTTTTCCACCCACCCTGAGCTTATTAAGACCTCCTCCCCCATTTATTTAATTTTATTCAGGGATGCAGAATCCCAAAAATAACTCCGGTTTGAATGTCACAAAAAGTTTTCTTCCTAGCTTTTAGTATCCAGGAGCTCTAAAAATATAAAAAAAGCTTATGGAATATTAATGAAAAAAAAAGCACAGATCATAAGTCAACCAATATATTTAGAGCTTTTGGACACCAGAGACCAAAGACACAAAGATATTTAGAGCTTTTGGACACTAGAGACCAGGAAAAAATATATATATAAAGCCGGAGTCCTTTTGGGAATCTGCATCCCTAATTTTACTTGTTGTGAAAAAAGAAAATCTCAAAACTAAAAGCAAAATATAATTTTTATTAATTATTTTCTAATTTCTTAGACCATTCAGGTCATAAAAATTAGAAAATATAAACTCACTTATAGAATTAAAAATAAAAATTCCTGCTTTATTATAACAATTAATTGTTTTTTTTACCAATAATTGTCTTGTCCAAATGTTGGCCACTGATCAATAAAAAAGCAACTGTTTATTATTCATAACTATTAATTTAGTAAAAAAACTTTTTTAGTTTAGTAATAAAAATTTAATAAAATTCTTAGAAACATTAAATAAAAAAGTCATACTATAATTCTGAATTTCATCATTAAAATTATCTACTAATGATATACAATTGACAATGTTTTTTACTTCTGCTTTAGGAAAGACCACAATCCAATTCATATAATTCTAACTCGATTATTCAAGGCAAATAAAAATAAATTTTTAACTAAAAAAGAAAGGGCCTATACATCTTCTTTTTTTAATTTAACTCACCCACATTAAAACTTTAATGATTTAGCAAGTCAGCAACAAGTAAAGGAACAATTGATATGGTCAAAGCTTTTTCAGTTTCATTACTGTCAAGTTACTCTTAATTGCTTAACACAATATGGTATAATAATTTAAGGATGTTTTGGGATACAGTTTCTTTGTTTGTAACAAGTAAAATTAAATTTAAAAACAAATTAAACAAGTAAAAACAAACAGGGCTAGGGGGTCTTAATAAGCTCAGGGTGTGTGGAAATATTTTTGAAAATTATTAAACATCAACTTCTGTGTATTATGCACTTAAGAGTACCACTTTTTTTTTTTTTCTGTTTATGAAAAGACCACTCTCCAATTCTTTGTAATAACTCTAACTAAACTTTTTTTTTTTTTTCCTCCATTTATTTAACCATAAATAATGAAAATTTACAATGATAGATTATAAATTTACATAAATAAGGTTAGGTGTCACTCATATAGTTGAAAACTAGTCAATGGAGTGACACCTAAAAAAAAGAAAGAAAGATAAGCAACAATTACAATAAAAAAGATTTAAAAAAAAAAAAAAAAAAAAGAAAGTTAAAAGTAAAAATATTTATAAAAATAATAATAGTAACAATAATATGAATAAAAATAATTTAAAAAATAATAACTGCAATATAACAACGTAAAAAGAATTATAAATGATAAAGCAATAGTAAGATGATTATAGTATAGTTTATATTTATAAAATAAACAATTTAAAGAATAGTTATAACAATAATGATAAAGCTACTGCAACTACTGAACTACTTTGACTATCATTATAGGTAATAATATTAAGGCAACAAAAACAAAGATATATAAATAATAATAGTAATAACAATAATAAAAATAGTAGTAGTAACAATAAAGTATAAAGAATAATAATAACAATTAAAAAAATAAAAATAAGTCTAATTAATCAAATAATATATCGAAGGAATAATAATAAAAGATAGCATTAATATTCTTTAGATATTTGCTCACATAAAAATTTCTTAATTAGGTTTCTGTTGAGAAGAAGAAAGTTAGTAACAAAACGGTATTTAGTTAAAATCTTTTTTTTTATAAAAGGTATTAATTGGTTCCAGTGAGAAATACATTGATGTTTTATGGAGAGCTTGCCATACTTGACAGTATTGAAAAAAGAAGGGTGCAAATTACCATTTATAGTAATACGAGTATAGTATTTATGTGTATCACTTGCTTTAATGAAAAAATTGCTAAACGATCCCGGCAGATTATTTTTTGAGGAAATCAAACACAAAAAGACAGTTGTAAAGCTTTATAAGATCTTGAAATTGTTAGATTTTTAATTCAGAAAACCTTTTTTGGATATTAGATTGAATAGGAGAAAATGTCATAATTCTTATGGAAACACGTTGCAAACTATTTATACGATTTAATAGAAAACTTCCTTGTTGCCCTCAAACAACGCAACAATAGCTTAGATGGGATGAGAACATGGAATAGTAAATTGATACTAGAGTATGTTTAGGAACATAGTGTCGTATTTAAGATAACATACTATTGGCTCGAGAGAGTTTTTTATTTAATTGAATCATTTGATAATTTCAAGACAGGTTTTTGTCAAGAAATACTCCGAGATATTTTATAAATTCAGAAGGAAATATTCTTTTACCGTTAATTTTAATTTTAACATTATCATTACTAATTATTTTTTTTGGAGGGTGAAAAATAATGAATTCAGTTATGTTGATATTTAGAGAGATATGATTACTATTTAACCAAAGACACAAATGATGGAGATCTAAATTTACTTTTTTACAAAGCTGAGAGAGACAAGTCGTTTATATAAATTAAAAACAGCAAAGGCCCAAGAACAGAACCTTGGGGGGACACCATATTTGATAAATTTTTTGGAGGATTCAAACCCATTAATGGAGACAAACTGGCTACGATTTCAATATATGATGAAAACCAATTATTAGCGAACTAACTATTCAGAACAACATTTAAAAAAAAATAGAGCAACATCATTTTTGTAATTAAACTCTCCCTAGTAAAATTATTATGTTTATTTTTAAATATTTTAGGTTGTTTTATTGGATTCCTTGCATCAAAATATGTATATGTACATATTTTCAGCTTTCCATTGCACACAGAACAGAAACAATGACCAAAACCATTTTTCAAAATGTTGGATTTTTGTTGGTTCAAGGCAAAGTTTGAAGAGTCATATCTTTGAAACCGTTTAGAATAAGATGATAAAACTTTGGAAATGTTCATAACTTTTTTAGTGGTGTAAAAATCAGCAAAATCTGAGTCTTAGGGTTGCATGCCCTGGATGTTTTCACATAAAATTGCCCAATATTGAAATAACTCTGTATTTTAATGAATTAGTTAACATTTTTAAAACCATACACAGTTTTGAAATAATCAGCTGCAAAACAGTTATAAAACAGTTATAAAACAGCAAAACAGTTATAAAACAATAATTAGCTGTAAAACAGGTATATTGTTTTAATACGGCGCAAATAAAGAAAATTAAAAAAATATATATCTCATATTTAATCATGTAGTGCAAGGGTTGAATTAAGCAATCGCGATTTGCAAAATCTGAAAAAATATCAGCTCTTCAAAATTTTAATTTATGCAAAGTCTTATACTTTGTTTTCAAAGAGCAAATTATTATAAGTTTGTTCGAGAAAAAGTTATAAAAAAACAAACAATAAACTTACAACTACAAAAGTAATAACACTCTAGTCACTATCTGCATTATAGAAGTAATAAAACTATAATAGTGTTATTATTTTTATAAAGCACTTATAACTTTTAAAGTTTTTTTTCTTTGTTCAAACAACATTAGTAATTCCAAACTTTAATCAAAGTAAATCAGCATCTAGAAAAAATAAAGTGGATATGCAAATGTTATTAAAAACTTCGGGAACTTTTACAAAGACACTTAAACAACTTTATAAAAATGTACTTTATAATAAGTTTAGCATTATGAAAAACTTTACTAATAGTCCGTAAAAACGCGTGTTTTTAAAATCAACCAATAAAAAGGTTTTATGGGTTAATTTCAAAATTAACGCGTGTTTTTACGGAGTATTAGAAACATTTTCTTAATGCTAAACTTTTTATACAGTACATCTTTATAAAGTTTTATAAAAGCATGCTTTTATATAAAAATTTAAATAACATTTTAAGTAAGGTTAGCATAATATATATGATATTATAGGTTGGAGAATATCTGAAGGTTAACATAATATATATGATGTTGTAGGTTGGAGAATATCTGAACTGAAATATAATATATATGATGTTTTAGGTTGGAGAATATCTGAACTGAAATATAATATATAGTCGGGCTTAGTGCAAAACCGCGTAACTAGCATTTTATAATATCTACAGTACATTTTTTTTTACTGGAGAAGTTTAAAACTTTATTTATTTTTTATTTTAACTGATTTTGGGTTCATTTTAGTAAAAAGAGTATTATTCATGTTTTTTGTAATCTCAACAATAAATATATGTGTTTTAAAATTAATAATATCCAAATATAGTAGCCAATGCTAGTTACGCGGATTTGCACTATCCCCAAAGATATATGATGTTTTAGGTTGGAGAATATCTGAACAGAAATATAATAGATATGATATTTTAGGTTGGAGAATATCTGAACGGAAATATATTATATATGCAGGCTTTCACAGGAAGATGTGCGATTTCACGTCTTTATATGACCACCTAAGTTACATTTTGCTATGACGGTTTGACCGCGGCTAATTCAAAAAACATTTTAGAAACGCGCTAAATAAAAAATATTCTAAAAAAGTGAAATTAATTACATCAAAACTTCTTAACAAATGTTTTTATATTAGCGAAACGATTTTAAATAAAGTAACAATTTACTGAAAAAAAGTTTTGTTTTTTAAATATAATTGACAGTTGTACATATTTTTTTAATTTAAAACATATAAATTGTTTAAGTGTTCATTTCTAAAATAAATCTTATTAAAAAAAAAAAAAATTATTTTGTTTTTATAAACGATGACATTCTACGACTACAAAAGTCTCTTTAACGAATTTAAATATAAGAATCATTAAAGTTAATGCATTTAAAAATATAAACAAAATTTCGTTACAAAAAAAAATTTTAGAAAACCGTTACAATTTAATAAGTTTGATCTTAAATGCTTTTATATTATCGAAACGCTTGTAATGAAGTAAAAAAAAAAACACTTCTAATTAATTTAAAAAAAAGTATTTATAAAATGTTTTTTTATTTTATTTATATAACTATGTATTTTTTATGAAAAATATTTAACTTTTGAACATATTAAACAAATAAAAAAGGTTTTTTAATGCGTAAATTAAATAGACATTTTAGTTTGATGAGTTTTGTTTTAGTTGCGTTATATATATTTATTTTTTTGTGTTTTTGCTTTAACTAAGTATTTTTTTTTTATTTTCTCTTTCGTTAATATTGATTATTTTTTAAATTTTTTGTTCAGATAAGTTTAGGTAAGTTTTTGTAGCGCGTTTTTAAATTTAAAAAAAATGCCGTGGTCAAATCTTAAAAACATTTTTTTTTTGCGTGGTCATATAAAGACATGAAATCGCACGTCTTCCTGTGAAAGCCTGATATGTTGTTGTAGGTTGGAGAATATCTGAAAGGAAATATAATATATATGATGTTTTAGGTTGGAGAATATCTGAACGGAAATATACAGAAAAAAACTATATTTACAGAATGGTGAGCTTCTTAATGATATTTGTATTTTTCTGATTTTTTCTAGATTTTTTATATATTATATTTATTTACAGATACTTCGTTTTTTTAACGATGAAAACAGTGACAATAGCCCATTCTCGCTTCATGAGTTAGTTAGAATTGGCAGCAAGAAGCCAGGCGAATGGTATGGACCTACTTCTGTTGCTCATACTTTAAGGTGAGAAAAAATTAAAGTAATCATGTTAATTATTTGATAAAAACATTTCTGCTGAAACATCAAAATTAAATTCATATATATATATATATATATATATATATATATATATATATATATATATATATATATATATATATATATATATATATATATACATGTAAATATATGTATATATATGTGTGTATATATATATATATATATATATATATATATATATATATATATATATATATATATATATATATATATATATATATGTATATAGATATAAATATATATATATATATATATATATATATCCTTATAGTATAGTCGAAAGAGACTTTTATGGTAAAAAAAGTCTCTTTCGACTACAATTTTTTTACCTTGTCTCTTAAGCTGCATTTTATTGTCGTCGAAATGTCAAAGCAGTTAAATTAATGCGGAACTACATTAAATTTTATTGTTTTTTAAAAAAACCACAATAATAATGACTAGAATGTTTTTTTTAATTAGTGGTGTTTTTGTTTTTGTTTTATTAAAAAACATTTTTAAAACATGCGTAAGTGTTGCTACATTGACTATCTTATAGCCTGCTGCTACAAGGGAGTGTTGCTACATCGACTGACAAATAGCATGACTCGCAAGGGAGTGCTGCTACATCAACTGACAAATAACCTGACTCGCAAGAGAGTGCTGCTACATCCATTTAGGGTTTGGTTTAGGCAGGCAGTCTATCATTTAAAAAAAAAAAAAAAATTTTTTCAAGTTTTTCAACATTTTCTGGTCAGGTTTATTAACGCGCTTATTAGAACAACAGTTAATTGGAAAAACTTTGTGACTACCATGCAAGACTATATATATATATATATATATATATATATATATATATATATATATATATATATATATATATATATATATATATATATATATATATATATATGTTACTGTTACCTGCAGTACCAAGAATTAGATAAATGCTAATCTTTATAATATAATATAATTTAAATTGCAACTCTTCATTTCATTTGTTACCACAATCTTCAGGCAAGTTGTATAATTTTGCTAGGATATATTTAGTGGATGTTACGGCTTTTATTTTAGAGCATTATGGGATGGAAGTTGTTTATTAGTTAGGTTAATGTTATTATTAATGCGTTTTTAGTTAGCTAATACTTGTGAATAATAGTTAAATGTTTTAATGGTTATTTAAAATATTTGTTTATGTGATGATGTGCATTATTTATATATTAAAAAAATATAAAATTAAAAATTGATATAAAAACATAAATAATATAATGAAATATATTAAAATAGATGTGTGTTTGTGTGAGTAATTTATTAGTTAGCTTAAAGATACATTAAGTAGAGTAATATAGCTATTGTTAGTTGTTAGTTAGGTTTGTATCGAGCTTTGTAATTTTTTGATAAGAGCTTATTTTTGTGGAGGCATTTTGATATAATTTCAGATTTTCCACTAAATTTTGCCGGAACAAGAGGGTACCACTGCCCAAATATTTTTCTTAGAATAGGCCCTGACATTTTATGTGAAAATCAGTTATGTAGTTTTAAAACTTTAACCACAATTTATGAAAATCATTTTTGAAATGTCCAAAATGGGGTGATTTGGCCACTTAACAAAAAAACCTAATTTAAACAACAAAACATTGCAATAAATGTTTAAGAAATTAATGAAAGTCACAAATCACAAAACTAGATTATCAAATAAAATACAAAAGAAATGATAAAAGCTATAAATTTGTGATATTTATTTAATAATTACTCATACAAGATGCACATTACATATAAAAATCAGCAATATGGCTTTAAAACTGCAACTAAAGTTTATTAATGAAAATCAATTTGAAAAATCAAAATATAGTGTAGTTAGGCCATTTAACAAAAAAACCTAATTTGAACAACAAAACATTCCAATACATGTTTATGAAATTAAAGGAAGTATGTTTCAAACCTAAAACTAGAATTTTAAAACAAAGTTCAAAATACAAATACAATAAAATACAAATGTTCTTAACAAATTGCAAAGGCAACTCAATCTTTATAATGGTATAGATGCCTTGTAGCTTTTCTTGGAGCTAAAGATATGATTAATCTCACCATCCATACAAATCATTTTCTTGGAGGGTGAGATTAATCTTATCATAATTTAATACATTAGAAATAAAATGTCCTTGATCAATTTGATTGTTGAAAATAAACAGCAATCTATTCTTCAGTTACAGCTGCACGGTTCTTTGAAATGTTCTGATGAATTCTCTGTAAAATTAGGTTGTGGTGTTTTTTCAAAAATCCATAAGCCTAATCTTGCCAGAAATGTTCATTTTTGTTTGTGAAGAAAATTTGATGAACATTTGATGAAGTATTTTAATGCAGCCAAAACATTGATGAAGTGTTCTAACAAAGCCAGATCCCAAAGCTCTTCATTCTGGTGATAAATTTATCAACCAAATTAATAAGTTTGGTTGATAAATTTGGTTAATACCCCAAATTTTTAAAATAGGCCATTTACCCCACTTACCTTAAGGTAAATGTTTTGAGCTTAAAAATGCACTTACCGAAGTAGCTCATAGAGTTCTGGTTAACATTTCAGTTAAATTGTCCCTCAAGTATTTGCTTGGCAATAGTTAGCGTTTTTAAAATCTGAAAATGCATAAAAAAATAAAATTTGAAAAACATTCAACAACAAGAGTATTATAATTTTAATTTTTTTTTTAACATTAAAATGTCAGGTTAACATTTAGCTATAAAAAGTAAGTAGAGTGGGACATCTTTAAAACTTAAGCATATTTTAGAAAAAAACTGATAAATATGCTAAACTGGCCATATTACGGTATTTGTTTTAATTTTTTTTAAAAAGGAATTTGAACAAAAGATTTTTAGTCTTCTAAAATTCTCTTATTTAAATAAATTTATAATTGAAATTTGAAATAAAAAAAAAATTGGAAAAATTTGAAAGAATTTTAACGCTCAATAGTTATAAATTTAATTGCAGCGGAGTCTGTAATACCCAGTGGCATAGCGAGGATCCTTCCTGAAAGTTAAACATTTATCTAGCTACAGTAACAGATTTAGAACATAGTACAAGTGAGAAAGAAAATTCTATTCAAATTGTAAACAATTTTAATAATTAATTATTTTTTGTTTCTTGAAAATAGTTTAACATATGCTTAAACTTAAGAATAACTTAATTTATTGACCAAATTTTTTTTCTTACACTTTTTATTGCAAAATAATTCAAATAAAAAAGTTGAATGAAAACATCAAATTAAACATTATTTAAATAAAGAAATTAATTTTACTTAAATTTTTAATAATACGCTAGATCAAGAAACAACAAATTATAAAAAACGTGGTATCTTGTGTAAATGTAAAACAACTTCATGACGCTGTTTTATTGATGTTTTTTACAGTTTATAGCTGTAAAAAACATCAATAAAACAGCATCATGAAGTTGTTTTACACTTACACAAGCTCTATATTGTTAAAATAACTTTGTAGTTTGTTTTATTCTTGTTTAAAACATTACAATAACAAGCTTTTTACAATAACAATTCAATACTCTTTAAAAAAAACATGTGTTTCATTGTCAGCATGAAAGTGTAGTATTCTATAACTAATTAAGTGGTTTAAGTTCCGTTTTTACTTTTACTTTTTTAAGTATCATCTTATTTTCTCTCTCTCTCTCTCTCTAGAGAGAGAGAGAGAGAGATAAATATATATATATATATATATATATATATATATATATATATATATATATATATATATATATATATATATATATATGTATGTATATATATATATATATATGTATATATATATATACATACATATATATATATATACATATATATATATACACATATATATATATACATATATATAGTATAAGTATATATATATATATATATATATATATATATATATATATATATATATATATATATATGATATATATATATATATATATATATATATATATATATATATATATATATATATATATATATATATATATATATATATATATAATATGTATAATTTATATTTTATCTATAATTTATACTAATGTAACAACTGCAAATAGCTTGCCAAATCAAGACTTTTTTAGCAAACTTGTGGTGTTTTATGTATTTAAATTTCTTATCAGCAATATAATAGACGGCACCAGAAATTTGCTGATGATCGTACTTGATATTAGTTTCATCGTCTTCAATAATACAGAAATTTTTAGAAATAAAATTGTCATACAACTTTCTGCAGTGGGTTTTTGCACTTTTTTGTTGAGTTTCAGATCGGTTGGGCACCATGTTTATTTCAAACTTTTACAACAAAGCTATGAGAAAGTCCATAAATGTTTGCGCGCTCCTATAGTGAAAGGCTTGGGTTAGTCTTAAAACTGTTACCAGTTTTCTAACTAGTTTTTTATCTTTAAAACCCTTCTTTCTTCCACGACCAGATTTACGTTTGATCGATTTTGTTTGAGAAAAATGTTGGATTACACGACTAACGGTGTATGGATGTATTTGCAACGCTTTTGCTATCGAATTGTAGCTACTATTGGGATTTTCCAAATATTTGTGCATAATTTTTTCTCTTATGTCTTCTTCTTTTGTCATTTTTAAAACTAATTTTAAGTTAAATCAAAAAACTAATACATTTTTTTGAAACCCGGTGGGCACCGGACCAAAAACCGTCCATTGGGAACACGTTGTAAACAAAATACAAAACAGTTAAAAAGATTTTAATATAACCACTGAAAAAAAATGACGTACTTATTCTTTCACATTTATTTCGTGTACACGCTTTATACTGAAGAAGATGCAATGTTTTTGTTGATTATTTAAAAAAAAGAAAAAAGCTATTTTAAACATGGGTACTATTTAAAGAAATTTTCTTTTTAGTGCTGCTGTCAATTTAACATCTCATCCTGTTCTTGATACATTTCGAGTCTATGTTGCAAATGATTGCACAGGTATTTTTAGTTTTAGTTGCAAATTACTTTTCTTTGTTTATTTATTAATTCATTATCATTTATTATGTATTTTTTAAAATTCATAGTAAACATAAAGTAATACTATTTGAGAAAAGTTAATATTTTGCTAATTATAATTGTTTGCTTATAATGGTAATTATAATGATGTAGCTATGTATGTATGATGTAATGGTAATTATAATGATGTATCTCAATGATATAGGTAGTTGTAACTCAATATAGGTTTTTCATTCACTTCTGAATAAATTATCATTATTCAAAAGTGAATGAAAGTTTCTTTTCAAATTGTCTAATATTTTCTCAAGTTTTATAAGTGAGATTTTATTATTAGTGACATAATTACTCTTATCAAATATTTATTAATTTAAAACTTTTTTTCATTTTTTTTTTTTATTTATTTAAAAAATGCTTTTTTACATAAGATATAAAAGTTATAAAGTTAAGGAATTGTACACAGTTTGACTACATATAAAACACAATGTAAAAAGATTTTTTATATGCACATTTTTAAAATTATTTTTAATTGAAAGTTTAAAATGACATCAAAGAAAATTTTTTTTCTAAATAACTCTATTAATTTAGCTAATTACAAAACTTATAGTAAGTTTGTAAAGTTACATAAATTTATAAAATAACATGATAAAAATTGAAAATATCTTTTCATAGTGATTTGCGTGAGTTCTTTTTTTTTGCTTTATCTTTGAATGTCTTAAACATCTAACTTATTAAAACACTATTTATTCATTTACACCAAATTTGGTGTCTAAAAACTTATAAGTTTTTTGTATTAAATTTGTATTAATATTAGTGTTGTGATCAAAAACATTAAAATGATTCACTTTTGTTTCTTTTACTACAACAATATTTATAAAGCCAAGGAGGGATCTTTGTTCTAAAACATCTGCAATTTATGGTATCGTAGTAAATTTTTTTAAAAAAATTTCTTTTCAGCTTTATTACTGCTTTTTTTTCATAATTTGAACTTGCAATCCATTATTTAAATTGGCAAATTATTTTAATTTTTGACATGACTGCATCACCATCACCATCATTGTTAGTTTTGCCATCTAGTTTTTTCTTTTTAGAAACTTTAGTTTAATTATTTGCTTTATAGCTTTAAAAAAAGGTTTCTTGATCTTTTATAAGTTTAATCATGAGAATTGTCATAAAGCATTCTGCCAATGTTCTTTTTTTTTTTTTTTTTTTTTTGTTACTTTCTTACTATCTAACTGATTCAAGTTACTGGTATGGGTTGATCATTGTATTTATCATTTCATTGATTGTCTTGTTTTTTAATTATTGATTGTTTTGTTTTGATTTCTATTAAGTTTCCAAAAACTCCCACAAGTTTAAAAAGCCATTATAAAATTGCTTGAACTGAATGCTCCATTGCCAGTCAATTTAAAGGATTTAAAAAAAGTATCTACATGTATCATTCAAAGTATATACATGTATTGTATACTTTTAAACAGTTCCTCTAAATTGCTTTGAGTGTCTTGAAAACATCTACAAACATCAAAGGCTATAAAACACTACTAATATGGGTAGGTAAACAAAGTACCTAAACATTGTTCTCAGCAGCTGAGTCTACAACAGTTTTTGATATGTGAGAGTTGTGTTAAAAATATTAGAAGCTAATCAACCAATCAATCAATCTAATTGTTTGTTATAGTGACAAATACTACTTAAACCATTTGATAAAGTGGCTTTCATCCACCCCTAAAGAGAAGAATTGTAATTCGCATTGTAGAGACTACTATTGCACTAGGTGCTATAAAGGTGGAATTTTTATAAAAAATTTATGATGATAAAAATTAACTGTTTGCCAAACAGCATACCTGCTCTGCAAACATGGTTTTAGTTGAAAAACCAACTGTTTCATGAATAATTAATAAGGTATTCTTTGATCAGTGTTTGCAAATATTAGAAGCTAATCAACCAATTATTTAGGGTTGAAATCCAAATTGAATATGTTTTGTGAGTGTTTCTATAGATAAATTTCCTCAACAACTGCAGGTTTTTCAAGATATGTCATTAACAGTGTTAACATTGCATGCATATTCAGGATTAGCATGAAGAGGTTATCCAATCCAACCTGTAAAATCATTTTATGACTTATAAAATTTTTGCACGCTATAAAAAAGATGCAGAAAATTATTTGTCTGCTTATTTGTGTTGTTAATTATATTTACTATTATATGAATTAAAATGTTTGTTTATTTGGCAGATGGCTGAATAAACAAATATTTTAGTTCATTTAGCCATCTTTATTCAGCTCTCTGTTAAAACACTTTAAGCAAAAGTCAATCCCTTACCCATAAAACGATTTAACATAGCGCAAGTCAATATTACCCACCTGTAAATGTCACCTGTAAATCTCACATTGTCAACTTCATGTTAGCTCAATCAAATAAATGTTTCATATGTAACTAAGCAAAAATATGTAACTAAGCAAAAATTCTTAAACTGTTATTACTTTGTTGCTACTCCTTTTCAAGACTTTTTGATTATACAGATCCACTTGCAATTGCAAGTTAAGTGTTGTCATAAGTAAATAAGCTTTGCTCCAAAAAATATTTGTTTTGATATTGACATCATAATTTTTATGTTTTGTTTAAACTAATCGAAAGAAATATATTTTAGTACCATTATTAAATACATTTGAGAAATTTACTTCAGGAATACAAAGTTTAAATATTTAAATCCAACAATTTGCAAAATATGTTAATAGATGTATATATCTTTCTTATAGTGTTTTTGCTTTCTTTTTTTAGACATTATTTTTATTTATTCAACATAATAGACACAACATTAAACCTTTTTTTTTTACCAATTTTTTTTTTTATTTAGTAAATAAACTACAGGCATTTTTACATAGAGGCGTTTTTAATGCACTAAGTTTATTAACTGATAATTTCCCTTGACGAATTTTTTACAAGTAATCTTACACCAACTTGTCAAAGTTTTTATAAGTAATCTTACTAACTTGACAAAGTTTTTACAATTAATCTTACACCAACTTGATGAAGTTTTTACAATTAATCTTATACCAACTTATGAAGTTTTTATAAGTAATCTAGCACCAACTAGCATAAACTTAAAATAAACTAGCAGTTTGAAATTGACCAATAGAATTTAAAGCTTGTTAAAGTATTAAAATCTTTTTATTTCAAAATAAACAAAAAACAAAACAAAATGTAAACATCAACACGGCTAATAATATTAATAATAAGTTATTTTAAAATTGAATTTTTTTCTGCTTTGAAGAAAATGTCTTTATACTGAAAATAATTTCCATAAACATATTGCTTCACGCGTATGGCTTTAGTTACACATCAGGAATACTTTTAATTGGCAAGTAACTCTTAAAGTGATACCTATAATTAACAAATAACCTTTAAATTAAAAAAAATACTTCTAAAGTGTTTAATATTTTATTAAGTGTAAATACTTTTGAATTACGTTTGTTTGCATGATTAATTTTATATTATTAACTTTTTATTGTTTTCCTTAACAAAATTTAGAAAAATCCCTTATTCTTAAAATACATAAAAGATGACAATATTAAAAAGAAAAATAAATTCAACAGACTAAGATACTTATAATTGAATTCTACAGACCCGCAATAAATTATATTCAATAGACTTAGTTAACAAGAGTTTTACTGAACTGACGCAGTAAAGAATCAGATAAAAATTAATGTGAATTAAAAACACAGTTTGAAATCAATTTATTTTACAAAAAAAATGTTTTTTTTTTTTTGTTTTTTTTTAGTGTATATAAAAGATGTTATCTCAACATCAACAAAATGCAAAAATTGTACAAAAAAGACTTGTCAAGAAAAGTTCTGGCGATCCATGCTGATATTGGTTCCCATTCGTCTAGGTAGTGATGGATTGAACCCAATATACATTCCATGTTTAAAGGTGGTTAATCACATTATTTACTATAAAATAATATTCATTATAAAATTTAAGTACTTGATAATTGTGGAAAGTATACCTATAATAAAACTTCTCAAAAAAACTTCTTGAAAAATGAATTTATCTAGAATTTTATCTGAATGAAATGAAAAATCATTTATTAATCTTAAAAATGATTGAGCAGAACTAAGATTGACAAAAAAAGACTAATGAAATTTATTTAATTTTTAATTAATAAAATTTAATTAATAAAAAAAAAAAAAAAAACTAATGAAATTGACAAAAAATAACTAATGAAAAAAACAAAATTAGTCATTAAAATCATATAAAGATGGAATAATCTCGATTAACCGAATCGTCTCGATTAAACTATTAATTTGCATCACCTGGGATTTTTATTAAGATACATTGTTTTCACTATTGTAACATATTTTAAAAAAAGGGCAGTTTTAGTTGCTTTGGCGATGAGTCATAATGAAATTACCTGCTGCTGGAGGATTCAGCTGCCGCTACATTGACTGAGGGTTTGGGCTGGGGCTGCAATCTTTATTTTAATTATTCTTTGTTTGTTTTTTCTTCTTTTTCTGAAATATAATTTTGATTAAGCTGTTTGTGTTTATTTTTCTTTCAAAATTTTAGAAAAGATTTTTCTCAAATTTCCAGAAGATTTCCTCTACAATGATTTCGAGGTAAATCTCTAATTTTAAAACTGTTATCTAAATTAGAGATAAATCGTTTTTGCAATTTGGAGTTAGGGCATGCTCGGTGCATTTAAGGCAGTTTTTAAGTTATTCATGTTGTTTTCTCAGCGTATTATCCCCAAACAAGAGCTTTAGACGTTATTTTTTTTTTTGCTTCAGGTTTTTATAAAGTTCAAAGAAACTTATCTCTTTTTTTATATAGTTTTCAAAATTTTTTAACTACTCCTGACAATAAACCTATAGAACACCATTTTTGAGTCTTTAGATCAATTTTGCTTAACAGCATTAACTTTTAGTTAAAATCTTTTGTAAAAGTGCGTTAACCCAACGTATTATGTATAACCACTATTAACCTATTTCTAATTGTACTGATACATATTAATTGAATATAGTTGTCAAAATACAACATTTCTATCAGTTTTTTAAAAATATTAAAAATTCCAACCAAAAAAGAGCTTATAATGATGAAAAAACTGGTCTGGGTTTTTTGTTACAAAAGTTTTTATTTTATGTTACAGCAAAGTTTAAAAATTTCTATTATTTTAGTTTATTTTATCTTTACATATTTCACAGACCTGATCATTTAACAAAAGTATGTCATGGTCAACAAAATATCATACAGACACTGTAATATTTTTAAAATCGACTTAACTACACTGAGTGCTACCCATAATTTAAAAATAATAGGGCATGGTACCCATAAATACCCATAATTGCTACTATGTTATTTGAGACTAAGTTGGTAACGGTAACCAATTGTTAATTTATTATGATGTCTATAGTTTAAGTTTTGTGATTTTAAGTTTAAGTTTTTTTTTGTTAAAAGTTTATTTTTGCTGTAATATTTATCGTATTATATTATTTTTTTAATCTGCCTGTTTTAATCTTTTAAAACAGGCATTATTAACGTTAGACTATTGTGTTGGTATAATTGGGGGTCGTCCAAAGCATTCTTTATATTTTGTAGGATTCCAAGGTATGATTTTGTTCATATATGTTTATAGTTGACAAATATTTATTTTTTTAGGTTTATAAAATTTTATAATATTGAGGCAACTGTAGCCAAGGTGTGCACTCTTTTTTTATTTTTATTTTTTATATTTTTAATTTTTTTTAGTTGTTGTTACAACTCTTAATTCTTTATCTCTGAATTTGCTATAATTTCTCTCTTCAATAAATTTGGCATAAATTTTAACTTTTCATTAATAAAAATGTATTTTTTTTTAAATAATTTTTTATTTACAAATTACATTTTAAATTTTTTTTTCAGGGTTATAAATTTTTTTATTACTTAAGTTTTTATGTTTCATTAATATTAATTTATAGCTTTTGTTTTTAAAATTTTTTTTTATGACTTTTTTGCAGTATTCACATTAAAACAATCAAATAAAATTAAAACGATCAAATAACATTGAAACAAACATTTTTTTTCATTATAGATAAAAATAGTTTTTGTTCCATTATATATAAAAATTTATTTATTACAAACATCACAAGTAATAAAAAATAGTGAGAATAAAATTTGAACTTGTATCCTTTTTGAAATGTTCCATTATGTGCATACTACACACCAATAAAGAGAATTTCATCCAAAATTTGGATAAATTAGGACTTATTGAACACTCTTAGGAAAAATTGTGCTTCTTTGTCAATGTCATTGGAGAATATTGAAATCTTGTAACTATGCTTAAATGGTTGCTATGCTTGGTAAGGTTGAATGGTTGCTATGCTTGATTTTAAATTTTTTTATTACACAATTTGAAAAATATTATCTGATATTTCTTACTAAATTTCTCTATTATGTATCTGCTGAAATTTTTCATAAAGCATTTTGTTAGGAATGTGCTTTAATAAAAATATAAATTACACCTGCAATGTTGAAACATCATCACTGGACTGTTTTAATTGTATTTGTTTAACCCAGCACAAATTTTGAGTCTTTTTCAATACAAATCAATTCTGTAAAGCTTTCTAAATCTGGGGAAAAAAAAAGTCTTACTAATCCCTATATGAATAATTATTAGTGCAGCAATTTAATCCAGAAGAAAAGCAGCGTAACCTTTGTTTAACATAAAACCAGAAGAAAAGCAGCGTAATCTTTGTTTAACATAAAACCAAAAGGAAAGCAGTGTAACCTTTGTTTAGCATAAAACCAGAAGGAAAACAGTGTAATGTTGTTCAACATAAAAACACTATAATTACTTAATTTTTAAAACTATCAAGTAAAAGAAATGAAATATTAAATTTTCAAAATGATCAATTTTTTATCAAAACAATCTAATCACAAGGTTAATTTATGTTAATGTGTAGAAGTTTACTGTGTTATATAATAATAAAGAATATAATTGTTCTGAAATTTTTTTTGAATACTATAATAACGAATATTTGTTTTAAAAAGAGCTGATCTTGTGACCCAAGCTATTTTACATAAGAATTTGTCCATTAATACTATATAATTGTTTAATTTTAATTAATTTTGATAATATATTCTTTTTTTTGCTTGATTTTATATTCTTTATATTTTTTTCTTTAAAAATTTAATTTCAAAATTTTTATAAAAGTTTTAAAGTTAATAGTACATAGTACATAGCTTTAGTAAGAAAAAAAATTTTAAACTTAGTTATTTACACGAATTTAAAAACTTCTTTAGGCAAAAAATTGATAAATCTGGATCCTCACTACTTACAAGAATATGTTGACATGACGACTCAAGAGTTTCCTGTTGAAGTATGTATTTTATAATTCCACAAATTGTTTAGTGAAAAGTTTTTAATGCAAATTAAGATTTTATAATGCTAAAGATAATATAAAATATTTATAGTTTTATATTTTTTATCAAATTTTTTTGCAAAAAAAGCTTTGTTTAAAAAAAAAATTTCAATGATGTGTAATATGCATAATGTATATATTTAATAAATTACCTTTAAATATAAACTTTTATAAATATAAAAGCGATACAAAAAACCATTACAACCTTATATTATTAGTAATTAATAAATATTATTCTTTTATATATATATATATATATATATATATATATATATATATATATATATATATATATATATATATATATATATATATATATATATATATATATATATATATATATATATTAGGGTGTTCCAAAAAACAACATTTTTGAAAATAATCTGCTCTCACCCCCTAAATGTGTTCTATCTAATACAAAAACACTAGGTTTAAATTTTTTTTGAATAAAAGATATTTTAAGAGGTCCCTCAAGACCCTCGAATATTTAATGGGTCCCTAATTTTTTCGAAAAAAATATTAGGGACCCATTCGAGGGGTATTTTGAATAAAAAATATTCGAGGGTCTTGAGGGACCCCTTTAAAAATTTTCAAAAATTATTCAAAAAAAATTTAAACCTAGTGTTTTTGCATTAGATAGAACACATTTAGGGGGTGAGAGCAGATTATTTTCAAAAATGTTGTTTTTTGGGACACCCTAATATATATATATATATATATATATATATATATATATATATATATATATATATATATATATATATATATATATATATATATATATATATATATATATATATATATATATATATATATATATATATATATATATATATATATATATATATATATATACTTATACTATATATATGTATATATATATACACACATGAAAGCTTCAATCTAATTTCAAAATGATGATAAAAAAATTATATTTCTTGAGTTAATGATAGTAACCTGACATTGCTATAGTTACCTGAATTAACAATATAATGTTGAATATAAGATTTTAGAATATTGACGCTATTTGGTTTGGGCTTGGTATATTTGCAACTGATAGAAGTCATGAATAATATGTTGTAAGTGTAGCATCTGTTGGCTGATTCTAAAAGCGACTAGTAAATTGGCAGGAATTTTAGTAATATGAGCTGTAAAAAATTATCTAATACAGGTTGTAACATTAAAATAATTTTACAAAAATATTTTACACAAATTTGGGGCAACCATGTGAAATCAGTTAATTGACATTTGATTTGAAAATGTTTGCTAACAATCTTGCATGTGCAATTTATTACACTAAGCATTAAGTTTAAGAATTATAGGGTGGATGCAGAAAAATCCAATCCATAAAAATACCCTTTAGATTAAGATTTTTTTATATTGGTTTTTAAAAATAAAGAATACTTTTGGTAGTTTCTTACATTTTTTGCTATTCCACCGAAGTTCCATTCTATTCTAACAAAGAATTTCTTTAACTGTTATCCAAAAATTTACAATCTTGACAGGAGAATTTGTATCGTCAGAAATAATATTTATCTCTGCACCACTAAAGATTGTTCTTAGTGTAGTGAGAATAGTATAGTGTCCTTAGTGACAAAACAAAAGGAATTCTTACCACAGCTGCAAATTGCTTACAACACAAGAAACTTGGATGCAAATTTTTCTTGTTGAATTTATCAGTAGGTTAGTCTTTGTTCTCATAGTAAAATTGTTGACCAAGTTATTTTTGCAAGATCTTTCCTTGTTTTCAATTATGCACATATTTTTTCAGTTGTTATTTTTACCAACATCTAAGCGCGTCAAGTTCCTCTAATTTCAGAAGTTCTGTTTTGGTATGGCTTTTAACCAAAATTTCAATTTGAACTGATACCGAAATTTCAGTTTTGACACTTTTTATAAATTCGGTAATAAGCTAAATTTGTTATCAGTTATCAATTTGTCCTGAAATAAAACCACATAGTTATCTATGGGTTTTTTTCAGGACAGTTTGATAACTCTGCATCACAATGATTTCTACTCAGTAGAATGACTTGTTTTCTCAGCAGAATGACTTGTTTTCCTTTTTTTGGGAGCACATGAGACTAAAGTTAATTCATGGTGACCAAAAGAAACCTATTGAGTTCATGCTCAGATATTGGTGCTTAATTTTCTTTAAAAAAAGTTTCACTTTCTTTGATTTAATTAGAACTATATTCAAGATTTTTGGGGTAAAAAAAATTGAAAGCATTTATAGAATCTGTCATGTTAATCCTGGCTTTAATTTCATGACATTTTGTGCTGCAAGTTTTCTAGAATTGCTCGTTCTTTGTTTTTGCCATATTTCATTATTTTTTGGGCACTAACAAACATTTGTTGAATAGCAAGCTTCCACTTCAATCTCTACTACTTCATTAATTTTACCTGGACATATTCCTACAGCTATATCTTTATGTATATTTCTTTCTAATGCATGATTTGCATAACTTATTCTCCCTTGACTATTTACTGGTATTGATTTTCTAATTTTGAGGTTGTAGGAGTATCTACTTGAAAATCAGTATCATCTGATGGTTCTAAAATTTTGAGCTGTCTGTTGTAACTTCTATGACTTCTTCTTCCTCTCCATCATCATCAGATTTAAACTCTTCTTCACTTGATAGATCTCTAACAAATGATTCAAACAATAGTTTTTGAGCCTGTTTCAGCAGTGTTTTTAATACAAACTTTTTTTTATTTTTAACCATAAGTTCTAATATTTGTTATGAAATCTAAATTTATCAAGGAAAAGGTTTAGTAAGCCACAAATAGAAAAGTAAAAACATATTTTAAAGCATAAGTTATGAAAAAACATAAAGTTTATAAGGAAAATTATCATATGGACCACGACATCATTGATCTATATTTTGAAAATAAATAAGAAAGAAATATCGATTTCAGTATTGAACTAGTATAACCCTAGTATTTCGGTTTTTTTTGGTGTTGGCGTATATCCTGTTTCGTTCATTCACTTGCTTTAAAGGTTTTTGGGAAATCCTAATTTAAAGTTGACCGAATTTTTCCGTGATATTCTAATTCATTTTTTTTTTTTTATTTGTCAGAGTTTTCGGTGTCATTATCCAAAAAAAATGGCTTTCAAAAAAATGGATCCTTCTTGTGCAGTAGGTTTTTATTGCCGAACCAGGGAAGACTTTGAATCACTGTGTAAGCAAGCTGTTGAGGTGCGCTATTAGTTAGGCAATACTCTTTTAGTTATTTTATTTGTATTAATTCAGTACGCTGTATTGTTATTATTTTAAGTTAACTTTACCTATTAGTCTAAACTAATTCTGCTTTCGATTTAAAAAAAAAAATTTAGATGTTGAAGCCCCCCATGCAGCGCACCGAATATCCAATGTTTATATTTGACGATGGTTCTAGCTTCTGCAGTGATGAACCTGATGGACTGTCATCGCGGGACCAAATGATTGAGATTTCGTACAACTCAACAAAAAAATCAAAGAAGAAAATCAAAAGTAACGAGTTTGTAGAGGAATACGTTCTAGTGGAGTAATCGGATATATATATATATATATATATATATATATATATATATATATATATATATATATATATATATATATATATATATATATATATATATATATATATATATATATATATATATATATAAGCACACACTGATAATTTTGTGTGGATTTTTATTATTTATGAAATTTATAACGCGTCATTTTATAAATGCGAATGTTATTTGGCAAATAGCAAAGTAACCAGAATTTATGAAGGAAATAAATTTTAGATGTTATTTGTAAAAAGTTTATTATTGTAATTTTTTTTAGTTCAGGTAAACTTTGTTTCTCTCAAAAAATAAATTTTTCAATTTTTCATACCCCAACCTCTGCTCTTGTTCTGTGCATTGTTTTGAATTTTAAGTTAATTTTTGAATAACTAAAATCCGAAATAAATTTTTTATATTATATTTTCAATATAAATTTAGTTTTTATTTAAATTTTCGCCATTTTTATCCATAGAAGTCCTTTATTATGTTAAGTTGAATATTTAGATTTGTAAATAAATTGTTTTATAATTTATGATTGATACATTTTTTGATTGGAATCTTATCTTACTTTTTAGGTAAATACCAAGGTAAACAAAGCTGTTTACTACTAACTTAGAGGGCGTTAATAAACCTAAGGGCGTTAATAAAGGTAGATTGATGTAAATAGCTTTATAAGCTAACCTTTTTTTTTTTTAAGCTTTTTTTTTTTTTTTTTTTTTTTTTTTTTTTTGCAAAATTTTTTCAATAATTAAAAGCTAAGCAATTTTTTTTTTTTAATTTTGTAAATAAAATACAATAATATCTTTTCTCATAACTAGATCAGCATGAGATATTTTAATTTAGGAATGAGCTGCAAATTTTATCTAATTAAACGTTGACTATAAATTTACTTAATATAATATATAAATTTACTTAATACTTAATTACTCTTTTATAAATTTACTTATTATTTAAGAGTGTTGCGTTTGGTTTAGACTGTTTTAAAAAAGATATTTTTATAAAATCGTCCAATTCACGTGTTGTATCAGTCACTACATTTGTGAGTGAACTTAATATGTCCACTTTGTGTAGCTTGTTGATAAAATCTGGTTATACCATAAGATTTTCTAGAATAAATGTAAAACGTAAAACATAATATCATGATTTTTTTCATAAACTATTGATATGAGTATACCATTACGTCTTAACAAAACCTAAATGAAATGAAAACATTGTACGTTTTGCGTACCTAAATGAAATGAAAATATGACGTAATGAAACGAGTAAAACAGCTAAAACTATTGTAGCATGATGTCATCATTTCATCATAAAGAATTTTCAAAAAAAAAAACATATTCATGTATACTTTAAAAATAAATTAAGGTAAAAAGTTTTTATGAAACAATTATATGCAAGTAATAAACTAATTGTATGTAATTTTGTTTACAAATATAAGAAAGTAATTTTACAAATATAAGTTAAATGTTTGAAAAGAGTTTTATATATAAATAACTATTTATTTGACTACGTTATTGTATAATCAATATTTGGTATTTAAATTAAGTTAAATTTAGTTTTATTATTGTTGTGAACTTAAGATAGAGTCGTGTGTAAATAACTTTTAAATAATATTTTATAAAAAAAAATCACTTCACATTATAAAGTGAACTAATATAACATCTATTTAGTTGCAGGGCCGACGACACGGGTTTTGAAGTGGGGGAGGGGGGCACAATCGTCAATTTGTGAAAAAAAGTCCCCTATATCAAGATTTTTTTTTTTTTTTTTTTTTTAAAAAAAAAGTCTTTTAGAAAAAAGTGGGGCACGTGCCTCCCCCCCCTCCCCCCTTCCGTGTCGTCGGCCTTGAGTTGTCTAAAAAAATTTTTTTTAATTGTTTCAAATATAACTTTAAAACGAAGAGTTTTTTCTCTAGAACAATTTTTTTTTGTAACCTAAAGAATAAAAAGTATATTTTAATTATTTTTGGCGTAGAAGTTTAAGCGATGGCACAAATAAAACATCAACTTTTTGATCAAATGGCTAAAAACTAATGTTTTTATAATTTTTGGCGTCCAGTATTTCAGCCATGCTGACGGGAAAAGCTCAAAACTTTAAAATCTTTCTTGTCATAATAAAAACTTAAAAGTATTACATTAATACTTTTTTTTATTATATGTAAATTCTTTTTATAAATAAACACAAAATACTTTTAATATTTCCCTACTATTCAAAGATTTTAAAAATATAATGTGATTTTTTTTTTCTAAAGAAATTTTTCTAAACAACTATGAAGCTGAAGGAAAGATTATAATGCTGATAATTTGGTTATTATTACCAAATTATATGCCTCTAATACTGACGATATTCAAATAGTCAAAAGTTGTACATATCCTTGGTGTTTTCATTTATGAAAGTTTCACATGGGAAAAATCATATCGATTATTTCAATATTTTTTGCAACAAAGTTTCAAAAAATATTGGAATATTCTAGAAAACAAGAAACTTTGTAAACAGATGTGCTTCAAATTTATTACACATCCAATTACTTATCCGATGCTATGTAAACTATTTAAGCATCGCATGGGTTACTGCTAAAAAATGTTAATTATGTCCTCTTTATCGGCATAAGAAGCATCTAGCTCTTGTCATAAATTTAAGGTTTGTTATACTCCAGTGTCGGATCAAGGGGGGGGGGGCTATAGCTCCGGGCCATGCAAATTTAGGGGCCCCCAAAAATTTTAGAGGACCTTTTTTTTTAGTCATATTTAAGCTCTGGCCCATAAAAAGGCCTCCAAAAACAAAAATAGCCCCGGGCCCTAAGAAGTCTTAATCCGCCACTGTTATATTCATGCCAAACCACTTTTAATTGAAATGAATGTTTTTAGTATACATCAACTAAATTTTTTTAATATTCTTTGCTTTATATTTTTTATATAAGATACACTTAACCCCTATATCTTTTCAAAAATTAGAATAATTTAGTGAAGAAATAACGCTTGTTCCACATGGGTTCCACGTGGGATCCCATGAATTCTACACGGAAACCATGTAGGAAAAGCATTTTTTTTTTTATTGTGAAAGTCTAAAAACAAATATGACCTAAGATATGATATATATTTGATTTATTAAAATCATTTGCGTACAAAATTTTGGTAGATCACTTATACCATATTGTGAATCTTTTCAATTTTCACTTTAACTTGACATTTTTCCATTTTAATTTGGCAATTTTCACTTTGAAATTATAGTGAAAATTGCTAAATTACGGTAATAATTAAACATACGGTTATATTTGTATCAAACATAAGGAGTTTGGATCATATTAATGATCTTTTTTAATATAATGAAATGTATTTAATGCTTTTGAAATGTTTGCTAAACAATAGTTTCCTATGAAAAATTGATATAGTTTTGAAAAATTGTGTCGGTTTCTAAATCTTTTGAAAAATTGTGTCGGTTTTCAGAAAATTTTCACTTTTAATATTTGCAGCGAGTTCTGTAATAGATGTAGATGTAGAAAATAAGTTTGTATCATAAGCAAACGTAATGAAATCTAGTATACTAGAGGCATTTGAGAGATTATTAGTGTATATTATGAACAAGAGGGGTGCAAGAATGGAACCTTGGGGGATACCACACTTTATTTTCAGTAACTCTGATGATTTTCATAGGTTATGTATTGTTGTCTGTTCATCAAAAAAGTTTTAAACCAATTTAGAGCGACACTTTTTGTCCCATATTTTTCCATTTTTTTAAGTAAGATTAAATGATCTATGGTGTCAAATCCTTTAGATAAATCAAGAAAGACTCGAAGTATATTTTTTATTTTCAAAAGCATCACTTATATTATATATGAGATCTAGAATTGCATGTTCGGTTGAGTGTTTCTTTTGGAAACCAAAATTGTTTTTTATTCAAGATATTGTTATTTTGTAGGTATGTATATAAATCAGGCAGGTGAAATTATTTTTCTAACAGTAAAAAATTATGTAATTCCAGAGATCTGTTATATTTAGAACAAAAAATTACTTAAATAGCCTTGCCCTACCATATTGGGCGTAACATACTGGAACTTTTTAATGGTAAAATTGCCTAAACTTTTAAACAATTAAAAAATGGTAACTATTCAATAAAACATTAAAAAACTGTTGAATATAAGTAGAACAATCATATCGTTAAATAAAATGGTTTTGTTTACCCAGTTTGTTAATGGCAATTCGGTGAGTGTTATAAACATCAATGTACACTTATGCAGAATATTATAAAATGTTATAAATATAAGTGTTATAAATAAATATTATAATAATAAAAAATGTTATGATAATAAAAAAAATGTTATAAAAGCAGAGTGTTATAAATATAAATGTGCACTTATTAGGAATATAAATACTACTTTCATGAATTATTTATCTTGACTGCAACTCAATCCCAGATCTTAATAGATTTAATCTCAATAATCCTTAATATCAATAATCCCAAATAATACTGAACTCGATCTCAATAATCCCAATCTCAATATACTTAAATTTAAAAATCGGGTCATTAACAGCATGCTTAAATTTCAAAAAGTTTTGTCAAAAAAAGTTGTAAGAAATATCACCAAAGCCTCCCCTGGTTGGTTTAAAAATATGTGTCTTAGAGCACGTTTTGGTATAGGATGTTAATTTGCTATAAAATATTAATTGAGGGTATTAAATAATTTTGCGCAACTTTTTTTTTTTTTTTTTTTTTACCTTTAAGTTCTTTTTTATATTGTTTGGTGTTTCAAGAGTGTTGAAAATCAAGAAAAAATAGTTGTGTTTAATCTGGCCCATCCTATTGCGCACCTAATAAAAAATATTAGGAAGATTGACGTATTTTGTGAGATTTTGAAAAAACATTTAACTGAACTTTTCAAATCAATAAATGTTTCTTTATAAGCCATTGGCAAATCCTCATAATTGAATAATTGTAATGTGTAAGCAGAGGGGGAAAAAACAGGGTACAAAGAAGTTCTATATACGGTGAGATGTAAAAAAACAAATATTTGTAAGCGTGCTAACAAGAAGTGTAACTTTTGAAAGGTTGCCATAAACGCTAAAATATAAGCATATGTTTTTTTATCGTGTTTGTTGTTTTAATTTAAACAAACAAAGAGAATCAGCTTGAGTTTATCTGAGCTAAAAAGAAAAAGAAAATCAAAATTATCTCTAAGTAAAAGTAACCTTACGTCGTTTTTAAACAAAATCATTTTTTTTTTGAATTTATTCTAAAATTTGATTTAAAATTTGTAATTTGATAGATATTATTATCAAAGTGACTCACGTTTGATTAACAAGAAAAGAAGAATGGGGTTGTCATTTTGACTACAAAACCCAAGTTTTATCTGGATAAACATTTTTAATAAGTATATCTTAATAAGGAGACACCTTTTTTTGTGGATGGTTAGTTTAGATTTATTTTGAATCTGTTTTAATATTTTGAAGAAAAGTGGTTTTAATATTTTGAGAAAAAGTTTTACATGTATGAAAAAATAATAAACTGAAATTAAAGATTAAATATTTTTGAAACGTTACCAACGTTAATTTTTAAAAGGCCGCATATTATTTTTCTTTTCGGCTATTATCTTTTCTTTTTTTTATTATTATTCATTTTTATTATTCTCTGTATAAGACTTTCTTCCTTTGAAAAACTTTACCGTTTTGAGTTTCGGCTTCTTTTTCTTTCTCTTTTCTTTTCATCTTTTTCTTTCTTTTTTTGTTAATGTTTTTTTTTCTTCTCATTGATTTTTTTACATGCACTTTGCTTAAATATATTTATATATATATATATATATATATATATATATATATATATATATATATATATATATATATATATATATATATATATATATATATATATATATATATATATATATATATATATATATATATATATATATATATAGATGGCAAGGTTAAGTTCAAATAAAATTTAAGAGGTGACATTAGCATTATTAAATTATCAATAAAGAGGTGACTTTATGAAACTAAAAATAAAGGTTTTCTTATCTCACTAATTATAGCTTATATTATCTCAGCAATTTTTATTATTGTTAATATTTATTTATTATTGTTAAATTTGATAAATTATTTATAGTTGTTTAGCTATTGACACAATTTTATTCAAAAAACTTTATAAACTTATATTTAAAAAAAGAACTAGGAACAATTTGCAAACTTTGCGCTATATGTGTGTGCGCTATAGGTGTGCATAATCCTTTGAAATAAAACGGACGTTACTTTTTTTAATTTTGAAAAGGCATTACTAAATATAGGTGGGGTTACAAGTTATTTCACTCTAAGTTTCCTTAGTTTTCTTGTTGTCTTTGTAAAACTTGTTTTAATAAAATAAAAAAGCTTTGAACGTTCTAATAAAGTTATTTTAGCAAATTATGGAGATTTTATAATGGTCTTCACTGTCTTTAGCTAGTTCAAGTAAAATTAATGCAGATCAAAATATGTAAAAAATATAACTAGTGTAAAGCCCTTTGTTAATTTATACATTTGTATTTTCCTAAAAGTCAAAACTTAAAAAATAACAAAAAAAACAACAGATTATCACTGCAATGTATGTTTTTACTTTTATTATATATTTTTTTCCTTATTTTGTTACTAAAGAAAATACTGGGTGTTTAACATAACTGATGGAGGTAAAGATGAACAACACGACACAACAATGTCGATCAAACGCTAAATTTAGTTACTTTAATATGATAAACATAGCATTATGTGCTTTTGTACTTGCTATTAACCTGTTTGTTGCTTCTTTATTTTATAAAAAACGTTCCGTTCTAAAAACAGCATCAAACCGATTGTTACTTAGCTTGCTTGTGTGCGACACGTTATCAGGGATCAACATTCTGGTGCAGATTATTGTTTATCTAATGTTCACAAATATGGCGATTCCCCGTTTATTTACTGATATAATTACGGCATTTTTAGTTCATACTGTTGTCCTCCATTTGTGCGGAATAACGTTAGATAGATTTATAGCACTATTTTTTGCTCTTCGCTATCGACAAATTGTAACGATTAAAACAACTACGAGATACTTGCAGTCAGCTTGGTTTGTTTCTTTTATCGCATCCGCAATTCAGGTTTTGTGGCTTTATAAAGAATTTAAAAACATTGCTAATTGTATTGGTTTGAAGAGTACTAACATAGAAAAGTGGTACAGTTTTGTAATGTTTACCTTATTTCTATTTATTCCAATGGTGTTTTTAGCGGTTGCATTTGGTGCGATGTTTTGCGAAATACGTAAAATTCTATTGAAGACCCCTGCTTTGAAAGTGCGTACTAAACTCTCAGGAGTAACAGTACAACAACGTCGTGTTCTCTATATATTTAGTATTATGTATGTTTGCTTTGGGATATTTGCAATGCCCTACTTCACCATTAGAATGATGGAAGACTTTAAAAAATTAGACATTAGTTCTGTCATTTTAGAAGTTGTTTATGCTTTAAAAATAACTCCTTCAATCACAAACCCACTTTTATACACGGCCAACAATAAAGACTTTAGAAAAATGATTAAAATTACATTATTAAAAGCAAAGAAACGTCTTTTTCATCCGTTTCGCAAGTTTTCATTTAATAAACTTCAATCTTTTGGCTCAGATAACCGACAAACTTCTATTCAAATGTCCTCGTTAGTTGAACTATCTGCACAAAAATCATATAACATCAACGAAAGCCGAACAAATAGTTTTGCAAGCTACAATCAAGTGAATAATGGTTGCGAGGATAACGTTTTATAACCAAAAATAAACAAAGATTAGGCAGTGTAAGTAAAATTAATCATGTGTAAATATGTAACTATAAGCGAAAGAAAAAAAAACTACTGATGTTTTGAGTGCTTAAGTGTTAAATTGAAACCAAATAGTACCTTTAAGTTTTGTTTATATATATATTAAAAAATACTTTTTGGTTGTTTTTATATATATATATATATATATATATATATATATATATATATATATATATATATATATATATATATATATATATATATATATATATATATATAGTCTTGCATGGTAGTCACACATAAACTTTTGTTTTAGAGAGCGCGTTAATAAGCCTTAGAAAATATTAAAAAACTTCAAAAAAAATTTTTTTTTTAAATGATAGACTGCCTGCCCAAACCAAACCCTCAGTCAATGTAGCAGCACTCCCTTGCGAGTCAGGCTATTTGTCAGTCGATGTAGCAGCACTCCGTTGCGAGTCAGGCTATAAGATAGTCGATGTAGCAACACTCCCTTGTAGCAGCAGGCTATAAGATAGTCGATGTAGCAACACTTACGCATGTTTTAAAAATGTTTCTTATTAAAACAAAAACAAAAACACCACTAATTAAAAAAACTTTCTAATCATTAATATTGCGGTTTTTTTAAAAAACAAGTTTTTTTTTACCATTAAAGTCTCTTTCGACTACACTATAAGAATATATACATATATATATATATATATATATATATATATATATATATATATATATATATATATATATATATATATATATATATATATATATTAAGTATATATATATTAAGTATATATATATATATATATATATATATATATATATATATATATATATATATATATATATATATATATATATATATATATATATATATATATATATTAAGTATATATATATTACATATTTTACATATAAAAAAAAAGGCTTTGAAAGAAGATTGCAATAATCTTATCGCCGGAAGCCTTTTGCTGGAGAGAGTACGTGAAACAATATAAAAACGCCTCTATACAAGAGATTACGTTAAAATATCATAAAAACAATATATCGTACTTAAATATATGAAATATAAATTGTACTCAAGTATAAAATAAAAATTGAGCGTTCATAACTCAAAATAAAACATTATTTCGTCATAAAAAAAAATTAATTGAAAGTTATCAAAGAGATTTTCAATAGAGAGAATAAAACCTTTTAATTTATTTTTAGAAACAGGATAAGTTAAGGAAAATATAATTATTTTTTTCAGTTAAGGGGTAAGTTAAAATTAGGCAAAACAACATTGTTCCAGAGATGTGTCCCACAATAAGTGACAGAAAATTGATTGAATTTTGTTAAGAGAATGGTTCATTTACATCTAAATATTTTAATTATTTATTATATAAATAATTAAGCTTATTTATTATATAAATAATTAAACAACCAGAAAAACTAATTAAACCAACCAGAAAAAAAAACTAATTAAACGGATCGCATGTTTCTGACGGCAATAAAATCATTTCTATTATCAGTGCTTCCCCAGGCAATGACCGGATGAATAAAAAAGAGCAATTGCTTTTATTCAGTAATTGGTACTTAAAATATTTGTAAAATAAAAACTTGAACAAAATAAAAGTTAAAAACTTAAAATTTTGGTTAAAATAAAAACCTAATATATTGGCAAAATAAAAACTTGAACAAATTTACTTTACGTAAAGCTGAGCAATTACTGAGTAAATTGTTTAACTTTACGAGAATAAAAGTTTGAGCAAAACTGCTGAAGTTTTTATTCACGCAAAGCTGACCAATTACTGAGTAAAAGCACTTGCTCATTTTTATTCACCCGACCTAATAACTCCATACCCAGTCACGAATTTGATATCATACGGATATCAATATGATATTAAACTTTGATATTTATGATATCAAAATGAAATCACTCGTTGAAATCATTCTGAACTCAAAACCTGATATCATACTATGAGAAGTTTGTGATATCAATAAGATATCAAAATGAAATCACTCATTGATATCATTCTGAAATCAAAGACTGATATTATAACATGAGAAGTTTATGATACCAATTTGATATGAAAAATTATCAATCATTGATATTATTCTGAACTTAAAACCTGTTATAAAATTAGCAGTTTATGATATCAAAATGAAATCAAGTCATGATATCATTACTATCATTTACTTAATAATTATTTTGATTATAAAATCACTTTTTCAAAGTGAGGAGGGCGGGGGGGGGGGGGGGGGGAGGGGGACAAACTCGCTTATTAAAAGAAATCGTCTATTTCGTAAAAAAAATAGGTCCTTGAAAAAGCGGGTGTAGTAAAGTAAGGGATTATAGTAAACTTTTAAAGGGGGTAAACTTTTAAAGTAACTGAGTTTATTCAAGGTAAATGAGTAAAAGCATAAAAATTGAGTTATAGCTCATTTAGCATCTAACGAATACCAAAGATGGTTAGTTAACTTGTAGAGCATTTCAACTGTGCACAATTGATAAAATAACTGCTGCTGCTAGATTGTCAGGTTCAAAAAGAGACAGCGGTATTCTTATGACCTTTCATACAAAATCATCAAAAGGTATATACAACATTTCTGTATGCTTGTTGTTAACCTTGTAAATACCAACAAGTTTAGAATTACAAGGAGAGCTTAATAAATTTTCTGTTCTGATATAGACTTGACCAAGAACACTTTTAGCATTACTATTTATTGAGTCAATGACACAAAAACTTCCACTCTTCAGACGATAGCATTCGTTGATCTTTGGATTAAAATTTAGCTTTTTTTTACAAACTGCTGACCTGTTATTGTTTATTTCTGTGAGTCGTCCAGCAATCTGAGCTACTACTTTAGAAGGACCCCGTTCGGACCCCGAAGGACATCATTCTTTTTATAGCTGACATATTGTTTTCAAATGGATAGGCTGTCACTCTAAACTATATCTCTCTGCTGTTAAAGTTAAATTGGTTTAAACAATGAAAATTATAAGATCGGAGTAGAGCAGTCTGGTCCACAAAAGCTACTAAGAAACTCTTGACCATACAAAGAAACTCTTGAGCATAACCATTATACTCAGTCATCAAATCTTTGCTGTATAAGATCTGAATAGCTGCACTTAAAGAAAGTGGTTGTATTTTTCTTTGCTGAGTATATCTTTCAAAACTACTGGTCCACAATATAAAAGAAAAGTACTAAATTCAGAGGCTTTCCATAACTTGAGATCTTTCAAACTTCTTGGTTTACGATTAAATTCTATAGGAATGTCTTCTTTTAAAGAACATAAGTAAGTGCTTAATAAAGTAATTTGCCCTGATGACAATTGAAAAGGAAGCGGGCCTTCCTTCCAAGTTAACAGTAGTTTTTTAGTACAACCAAGGTCCACACAATGCATCACGTCAAGAGGGAACTGTTGTACCATGTCTACTTCAAGTGATTCCAAGACACTGATATCCTTGTGATGACTTTTCTGAATTTTTTCTCTAAATGTCTGATCAGTGCGCTGAGTACCAGTGTATAAAAACATCATTCGACCATCATAGGTTCCTTTTACATTACAATAATCACAACCATAGCGACCATTATAGTGAGCAATGCCTTTAATCAAAGCTTTTGCTGGCGCATCGCAGATAAAATATTTCGTATTTACTTTTATGGTTTTTCCATTATAATCATTAATGCCATTTGCCATTAGAAATTTTAACTCTAAAGTAAACTCTTCCAAGAATTCCAAACTAGTTGGCTTCTGTACACCGCAAAACAACGCCACAACAAATGGACTGTTTTCACGCACATTATCAACACAACATTAATTTGGCCAGAGGAAAGCATTTGTATTTTTATGGATAGGGAGGCCATCAATGTTGAATACTAACTCAACAAAATCTAGATCTTTTTTAAAAATAGTTCTCAAAATACCATCTTTTATTCCAAAGTAGGTATAATCACCACCTGAAAAACAAAAGTTAGTTTTTTTATATTACTACAAAAAAATACATGTGAAATATATTTTTATCAACTAAAAAAATTCGACTTAGCAAATATAACTATAACTATATAACTATAACTATATAACTAAGAAATATCAAGTAAAATTCAATGTCTTTAACTTAACTATTTAATACTACAATGTCTAACTAAATTAAATACTTAATATGATTTAGATATCAAGAAAAAAATCTACATTAGGGTTCAACAAAAAAAATTCTTGAAAGATTTACAGACCTGACTTTTGAATAATATCTAACTTGCGAGGCGTTTTTAATAGCGTTGTAGCATTAGTTGGCAGATCTACACTTAAGTGATTATGCAAAATTTTTAATAATGATGTTAATGTTGCTAGAGGCACCGAACATTGCACAGCCCATTGGGCTAGATCTTCTTTAAATGTCAGGTCATTACTTTCATCGTTATTGCTTAAGTTATCAGTAATAAGGTCTGCGGTCTTTTTTACTGCATTTATTGATTTCCATGCAATAGAGTCATCTATGTCAAAACAGCCAAAACCTCGAACATTATGAAACTCTTCCTTTGACGGTAACAAATCACTTCCTGATAAAACACTAGAGCTTACAAAACTTTGTTCATAGCAATGGGGATACAAAGGTTTGCTTACAGATGATATTTTCTTTATGTTATCAAAAGCCTCAACTTTTTCACCTTCAATACCAATATATGGGATATTTATAAACTGTTCAAATTTATAAGTCTTTCTATGAGCATATTGCTGAGTCAATTGTGCTCTCTTTCTGCTTTTGGAACTCATTTTATTCAAATCAAGATGACTGAAAATAAAATAAAACAAACATAAACATGGAAAAAACAAGTTGAAGAAGAAAAAAAGATAGATAAGTTTTTTATTAACTTATTACTACTCTGTAATATATATATATATATATATATATATATATATATATATATATATATATATATATATATATATATATATATATATATATATATATATATATATAATTTTGTAAAAGAATAAAAAGAAAACAACCTACTAATTTAAATTAATAAAAACATTATACAAGTACATAAATTTGAATAAAAATAAAAATATTAAATAGGTTGTTACAAAAAAATATGGAGCTGCTTAAAAATATTGCAAAGACTATTAGGGCGTTTTTTTTAAATATATAAAATAAGATAGACTTATATTACTACAATATATGGTCATCAGAATCTGATTTATCAAATACAGGCTTAACTTTAAGTTTTGCTTTAATTCTGCATTTAGCATTAGAAAAATATAGTTCAATTTGCTTTTCTGTTTCTTTTTTTATTGTAGTTTCTTTTTTTTCTTTCTCGTAAAAAGACTTGATAGTAGCTGAAATTTAAATAAGTTTTGAAGAATATACTTATAATTTCAGTAAATTTTAAATTAAAAATTTACCAAAATTTTAAGAAAAAAATAATTAATAAAGCAAAATAATTAAACTTATAGAAATATTAACAGTGAATATATGCATCATACTTTGTTATAGAAAAAAGGCAGACACAATTTTAAGTTGTAAACTTACAGTAAATACACCGTTCAAATACAGAGGCAGTTTTTCTTGGCCCCTGGAGCCTGTACGATTAAACAAAGTCATTAGATTATCTGATAAAAATGCTCTTAATATTGATCTAACACAAGACCCAATTGATTTTTGACCATAGTTAATAATCATGAACTTTATATGAAAAAATAAAATAATAATTTGGGTATATGTCTAAACATCGTAAACAAATATTTTTTACAGTCAAAACAGAAAGTTTAAAATCATTTAAAAAACATAAACCAAATTGTATAAAAGGACAAATTTTAAATTTACTGGGCTGCATATTTAATGCTAGCTGCTTTTTATATTGGAACTATAGAGTACTCAATTTAAAAATAATTAATTGGTATACTTACCACTAACTTTCGAAACACAGAATCCTCTTCTAGCATTTTACAAAAATTATGGAAAGTATCACAGGTCTAGTATTGCTCCATTACAAACATTTGGTCTTGATTGTCCTCCGCTATATTTTCTATCGGCAACAATTTGATCTTGCACAAATCATCCTCTATTCTACAAACTCTCAAAGTTAATTTTTTAATGCTTTGGTATAACTTTAGAGTATTAACTAAATAATATCAAAAGCAAATAAATAGATGAAATTAGAAAATACCCGCTTTCAAAAAAAAAAAGAATGTTTGGTGTTCTCAAACATCTTTAAGAACACCAGTCTCAACATAGGTCTGAATACACCACTATTAACATTAAAATATACTTTCTGGAGAAACATAATAACATTGTACAAACCATGTAATTTCTTTAACTGCAGTGAATCGTCATCATTCACAGAAGAGTCCTTTAAATCTAAGTTATCTTGTTCTGAAATGACTGACAACTCAAAGTTGGTC